AAGTTATCTGTCAGAGAACTTCAGGGACCGAAAAGGACTTGGAATAAAACCGTTGACCAATCAGGTTCGAAGTACAACTATTTAGCAACCCGACAGCAACGGAAATAGTATGCAACTTTTCGTGAATTGTTGATCTAATGGCCAATAATGAATGATTCTAGGAACAAAAGATGTAAGTATAGTGTTAATAAACTGTAGAAGTTGCTGTAGGAAACTTGACATTGTAGATGAAATTTTGTTATCCTGCTACTGCAGCCGAATGTTTGACTGAACTTGAAGTACTGGGTTCCTAGAAGACAACTTTAATTGCTAATAGACAGTAAGGTAGTTCTGGTACATAAGGAAGCCCAATGAAAGTAGATAAGAAATATTCCCTTTGAACTACATGCAGCCTGCTATGGTTTGGTGCAACCCATGAGAATCCATAACTTGTAAGCTAACTGATCAACTTATCCAGATTCAAAGCCACTGAGCACCAAGTAGGCCCACCAGACCTTCGGGCTGGCTCGGGTATCGATCAGACTACAAGGTGGCATAAGTCGAAGGTCAGCCTATAAAATATGTCAGACATATTTAGTTGTTCAGGAATTCTGCAGAGAGGAACAAGAGAATAAGTTGATAAATTCCTAAGGTAGTAAAGCAAGACTAGTCTGGAGGAGCATCCTCTGCTTCAAGTCTTGGTTAGATGTATGGCCTAAAATAAGCCCCTATCTTACATGATATCCAATATATTGATATCGTCTTACTCAGAGTCACCCTAGGGCAGGTGTGCACTCATATTAGGTCAGTATTGAATGGTTTTGGTCCTCTGCATAGTTGTTGAAAAGTGATCTTTATACAGAGTAAACAACAAGAAGTGGCTGTGACACACTCCATCTAAAATAGCAGTGGATACTCTCAGTCTTTGACCTTGTTTGATATAACTAAGTCCCTATGATGACTGTTTGCCCTATGCATAATTGTGTTATCCAGTGTCCCCCAGAGCTCATTCATTCAGTCTGATTCAAACCCTGCCTAAGGTGGATTGATCTGAATACCTCACTTGGACGAGACATGATTCATCCTTGATTATCTTCCAAGAAGTAATGTTGGAGGGTATTCAAGTGAAAGAAGAGAAATCTCCTTCTCTTTGACAACCACATGATTCTTCTTTGAATTCTTAAACATGACGGTAAAGTTGTTTGGGGGCTGCCATTGCTGTCATCAAAGCGTCCTGTAAGACACTTTCAATCAGCTTACTATCCATATCACCTTCAAGATCTTTGACTGTCAGCCCTACTCTTAACAACTGTCCACCTTATTAGTTGTATCCAGTTACTACCTACCTACCTACCTAGTATGTAGCAGCCTAGTCGCAGGTACCTACTTTAGTACTTAATAGTGGCTTGGTACCTGGTAATTTCACCCAAATTCCGCATCCACTCCCACAGCCCCGCCTTTGGGGTCTATCTACAGATTACTTCAGTCTCATTCCAGGGACTCTTCTTCTTTTGCGCTCAATATCATCCTTATCCTTACTATTATCGCTATTGTTTTGCTCCTTCCATTTATTCTCCGCCACTCATTATTAGGAGGCCTGTCGTGGTCTTATGGTATGGTTTTCGTTTCGCGGCTTTTCGGATGATGCGCTTGATCTCTGCACTTCACCCTGCGCGTTCCGTATAGCTAGACTGGTCTCCCTTCGATCCTATTTCCTCTTGTGTTCTATTTTTAATCCATGAGCCTTTGATTGGAAGGGAAGAAGAGATTAAGGAGCGCCTAAAGAATCGTCTTTCCCCGTCAGATTTGATTCATACCGTTTTCGGCAACGTCTGGAAAGGATTGAAGAAGAAGAAAACAAAGGAGAAGGGCTATTATCTGGACGATGAATAGACCTCCGCAAGGCCGTGGTCAGCCACGGCTCGGTGCTACATGGTATCCAGGGGGCCAGGATGACTTTTACATGCCAGAAGTCATATCCCCCTCTCCTCAAAGGTTCGATCGCAAATTGCATATTTCAGGGGACTTCCCCCACCTGATTGTTAGCGTCTAACAACACCGGTGGTACGTGTTGCTGACCTGATGCACCCGATTTCAACAGGGTCATGCCGGAGGTTCCAGAAAACATGCAGGACAATATAGCCCACCTCGAGCACGAAGCGCGAACCCCTCACCGCGGCCAACATGCTCCAGTCCAGCATGATCGCTCCCGTTTCCCTGAGCGATCTTCATCCGTCGCGGTCGCTCAAGGACAGCCGCCACCTGGCGCGGGTTACGATGTCGCTCATCGTGAGCACTCCGCGGTCTATGACGTGGAATCTTCTACCATGTCTCCTTTCCCTGTCCTGAGAAACCCTCCGCCAAATGTACCTCCTACCGACGAGCAAAGAGAAGCCAGTTTGGAGAGAGCTCGAATCGCTGTTTTGTCGTCCAACGACCCGGAAATGCAGTTGGCCTGGGCTCAGGACGCTCTCGCCTACGTTGAGGTCGCGGTGCAAAACGAGGCTCGTCTCTCCTTGATTCAACCTCCAAGGCCGCAGACTCCTCCCGTGGAGCGTCAGTTGAAGGTCGATGCGATGAACATTGTGAACTTCTTGGCGGATCAATACCACCCCAAGGCTGATTTCATCAGAGGCATGTGGCTAGAGTTTGGCAAATTCGGACATCGCGTGGACAAGAAGGCAGCTTTTCGCGCCTATACGAGAGCTGCGGACAGAGGATATGCTCGGGCGGAGTATCGTATCGGAATGCAGTTTGAAAGTTCCGGAGAACCGGAGAAAGCTATCAAACACTACGAGAAGGGAGTCGCCCTTGCTGACTCCGCTTCCTACTATGTATGTTCAAGACAACTTTTCCGTCAAAATGAGCCGCTTGCTAATTGCCACGTCCGGCAGCGTTTGGGCATGATGATCCTCCTCGGTCAGCATGGTCAGCGGCAAGATTACCAGATGGGCTTGGATTATATCAGCCTTGCTGCACAATCTTGCGACGAGAATTCGCCCCAGGGTGCCTATGTACGTGACGTTCTTCTCATTCTCGGCCTCAACGCTTGGGGGTTCTGACATGACGTTTGACAGGTTTATGGTATGCTTTTGGCACGGGAACTCCCGCAGGTCAATGTGCCAGAAAGCTATCTTCCCCTGGATCTGAACGCTGCTCGTGTCAACATTGAAAAGGCCGCCTATCACGGATTTGCCAAAGCTCAGGTCAAGATGGGCGCCGCTTATGAACTTGGTCAACTCGGCTGTGACTTCAACCCTGCACTATCCTTACATTATAACGCGCTGGCTGCGCGTCAAGGGGAGCCGGAAGCGGAGATGGCGATTAGCAAATGGTTCCTCTGCGGTCATGAGGGCGTTTTTGAGAAGAACGACGAGTTGGCCTTCACATTTGCCCATCGTGCTGCGCTCAGTGGATTCCCGACAGCCGAATTTGCGCTGGGATATTTCTACGAGGTTGGTATCTACGTCGATGTCGACCTCAAGGAGGCCAGAAGCTGGTACGCCAAGGCAGCAGCGAATGGGAATAAAGACGCTACAAGTCGGATCGACAGCATCTCGCGGTCAAAGACACTGTCGAGAAAGGATCACGAGAATGTCGCGATCGCCCGCATCAAGTCGCGCTATGGGTCTCACCAGCGCGAAAATTCTTTAGAACCCACCCAAGAGAACCTTGAAATGCCCGATCCATCCAGGATGAGTCTCGCAGACAACGGTCACTCCGCCGCGCCTTACCCCGACAGACCAGGGTCCCGCTCCCGGCCCGTTTATCCACAAGGCTACTCAATGGCCGACCCGCGCCCCAGCTCGGCTTTTGGAATCAACCCCAATATCCGCGCGAATGCGCCCAACTACAACCGGGCCGCGTCTTACGGCCCAGGTCCTCAGAATTACCGTAACCCGGGGCCGGGGGCGCCGCCATCGGTAGGACCGATGAGTCCGACAAGTGTGCATAGTCCATCGGCAACACCCAAACTCGATATCGGTTACTCAGCGCCACTTGACCCCACTCCCAGCGCTGATGCTCGAAGACGCCCTCAGCGGCTCGATGGCGTACCCCCGGACCGGAAGCCTGGACGAACACCTGTCTCCCCTCACTCCCAGGGTAGCTCGATGGGATCGCCAAGGCCACTAGCCTCACCTTCTGCTGCGTCATTCCCTCAGTCGTCAAGAACGTCGACTCCCAAACCCTCCGGACCTCCCGCAAGCGCAGCAAGCCAAAAGCCCACAACACAACCTTCCAAACCCTCCGCAGGCGGTCTTCCCGGCAAGGGTCCGAAGACCTTCGAAGAAATGGGAGTTCCTGCCGCCCAAAAAGACAGTGATTGCGTAAGTCTTTGGTTCTTCCCCGGATCGTTTGCATCGGATCTGCGAAGCTAACCGCTGCCTTAGATCATCATGTGATACCCTTGCCGAATGATTCTGCACAACGATATTCTATCTAATGTCTTACTGGGAGAATTCTATTTGATAACGCCACTGTCCCAACCGGAGCGAATAAAGGTGGCGTAGGAAAGTCCCTGATGTAGTGAATGGCTTTTCTCCGATTGTTTGTCTCAAGCTCTCTTTGGACCTTCAATTCGGTACTTTCTTGTTGTCTTTGAAAATAGCATTTTCCCCATTGGGGGGTTCGGAATGAATTTACCCTATCTCCCTATGGTTTTGTATGTGTGACAGCCATCCATTTTATCCGATAAAAGATCTGGTGTTGTTCATGGTCCAGCGTTCTTGTCTCCTCCCTCTTCCTCATCTTCTGGGATTCACTCTTTGCCGGTTGCTGCTGCTCTATTTTCCACGGCCAATTTTTATTCTGTAATTCTAAAACAAGACTTGTATGTATAACTAAGGGCCGATGGATAGCATTTCCCACGTGATGGTGGCGGCCCTTGTGTGTTTGCTGATTGATACCCTGTACAGTGATGATTTTCAATCAGAACAACCCACGTCCCAGTTCACCTCGCTCTCATCTTCCATAGTCTCCACCTTCTCCGGTAGTCGATTGACCACTTCGCCTTTGTCACCATGACACAAAAGAAGGCAAAGGCGGCCGACATGTCGGTTGAAGGTGAGCCGGCAAGGTTTGCTTCAAGACTTGCGTATGCCTCCCGCTTACTCTGCACACCTAGCTGCCAATGACGAAACATCATTGATCCTGGATTACCTTCGTGAGTGTCAAGTTGATTCGCAAGACTCAGTTCTCGATTGCACTATCGACCCTAGCTGCTGACTGGTCTTTTAGGGAAGCAAAAGTAGGTCTAAGTGTTCTATGCTAGCAACTTAGTTTCTTGAAAAGCTGTCTAAACGTTGAAAATCAGTCGTCCTTATTCGGTTTGTACTCTTGATGATGAGCGCCTGGAGATAATGACCCTAATGTTTTAGCATCTCAGGCCATCGATGTTTCCGCGAATTTGCATAACAAGGTCTCAAAAAGTCAGTACAGTCATTTTACTTCAGGCGAGTCGTCCTGAAGTTTCTGACTGATGTCGATCCTATAGCGCACACAGCGAAGGTCTTGCGAGAACTACACCGAAAGAAGGAGATTGAAGCACGGGTCTCAGGTGCTCAGGACCATCCTGTACAAGCAAAGTGCCTTGGAGGCTAACTAAGCTCTACCCGGGATTCAGGAAAACACACAGTTTATCATGCTCTTCAAGATGCGTCCGATGAAGTCACGATGGAGGCCATGGCGGCGATGGATGAGAGGATCAAGCAGCTGCAAGCACAGTCAACGACACTCAAGACCAAGGAAAAGAAAGCGCGAACAGAGCTAGCAACGCTCTCCACGAAGCCACTGCTCTGTGAGCTGCGACACGATGTCAGCCAACTTGAGCAAGAAACACAGGCGATTTTATCTCGTCTCAAGAAGATTCAGAAAAGTGATTCAATCCAGGTGTCTCCGGATGAGAAAGCAGAGTTGGGGAAGGAATGGAGACGCTGGAATAAGATCGCTAGTGTCCGTAAGAGGATCTGTCGGGATCTATGGAGTAAATGCTTAGAGGTTGTACCGGACAATGTGAGTCGAGAAGAGCTTTGGGTAAGTGCACCAACTCCTGATGCTGCATTGACAGCGTGGATCTGCAGCGGTCTCGGCTGACTTTGTCCATCAGGAATCTCTGGGCCTTGAAGGGACCCTTCTCCGTTGAAATGCTATGTTTTTATCTGATCAGATGGAGTGAGATCTGCGATTGATGCGGATACATGCTCTCATCGCGCAATGACCGCTTTCAATTACCCTTTATGGATTATTTCCTGCACGTTGAATCTTACAGTCCCTTCGGATGTTTGTTATGCATAGTACCTACATTTAAATCCCGCGGCGTCTGGCAGGACCGTTCCTATGAGTGGATTCATGTGCGAAAGCGACGACAGATCCTGTTTTTATTGACAAGTCGAGTATGAGGAACGAAAATCGAGGCTTATGAAGAGTATCAGATGATAAGTTGGGATTTATCGAGTCACTGGAGAGGGAAGGGTGAGGAGATTATATCCAAACCAAGACTTATCTGGTTGGTGCACGAGACTCGGTCAGGAGAAAGACCGTCGAAGGTGACATGACGCCATTTGAGGATGATCATTCGTTGATGATACAGACATAGATAGATATTAGTATGATCCTACCTAGTTGATATCACTACCTAGATATCATGTGCAGCGCAAATCCCTTCCTTCTTCTCTTCATATGGTAGACAGTCATGGGGTGGTTTGACTGATATGAGGAATGAAGAGGATCAGCTAGCTGATCAGTATTACTGGAAGACATTCAAGGGCCTCATTCATAAAAAAATACCATGAAGATAATACATATATCAATGCTGAAAATATCCTCGATTTGATCTATCTCATTGATAACAACAATATAATGATGATCATCTTGAATACCGCACAGCATGTAAGTATCATGATTCCCCACCTGTGGAAATCTCCCCGTGCCAGTATGCGATCGATAACCACCACTACTACTAAGTAAACTAAACCCCTCCGGATTTTCCAACGGTCTTGACTTCCCTTCTGTTCTGCATCATCGCAGCCAAGGGAGTGTCCTCACTCACTCACTCACTCTCTCTCTCTCCCTCCCTCTTCTCTCTCACAAAAGTTTACAGATTCATCATCATATTTTAGAGTCTTTCTTTCCAGTCATCCTGTTCTCAAAATTCGCCATCTCCCCTCCGTGAGATGAAAAATCGTGCTCCTCTTCCTGTCCCCTCCGGAGCCCCCTCTGTGCAGAACGGCCATTCCCGCAATCCCTCCGGCTTCGACATGGCTGCCCGCAGTCCTCCCAACCAGAGCAGTAAGGCGCAGTCCAGGACTCTTTTCCTTGATCCCTCAATCACACACTGTTCCCATTCTCCGATCGCACTCCGGTTACTTGCCAGGATTGTCGCTTTCCATGACCATATTTGCTCTGCCCCTCCCTTCTCTTTTGGGTGATGGAAAGAGATAAACTAATTTTAGTCGCCATCTTCTCTAGATACCAAGCATGTGCCCTGCAAATTCTTTCGCCAGGGAGCTTGCCAGGCCGGTCCTGCTTGTCCTTTCCTACACTCCACAGACGCCGCGATTGACTATGCGCCTTGCAAATATTTCACCAAGGTACGACCTGGAACCGGATCCATCCTGTTCATGTTCCCCCTCTCGTAGCGGCGGATGCAAGCAATGTCCTCCCTTTCCCATCCTTGATTTCGAGAGCATGTAGTTGACTGCTTTGGTCTCCGCACAACTAGGGCAATTGCAAGTTCGGAGCCAAGTGCGCGCTGGCGCATATCCTTCCTGATGGTCGGCGGGTGAATCGTCCAAGTCCCGGTATGGGAATGGGTGGAGGCCATCTCAATCTGGGGGGACGCGTCAACCCTCAAGCATATGTCAATCAAGATTCGGCCCTGACGAACTCGGTTCTCTCCCAACAGCGCATGAATGGTCATGATCCTCGTTACATTTCGCAGTTGCCGCCTCAAGAGGAGTTCGGTGCTCTACAACAGCAGCAGCAGCAGCCACCCCCACCGCCGTTCGACGCCATCCCTACCATCGATGCAGGCTTGACGTCGGATGCGGGTTCGAAGTATGGGTCGCCACCGGACGACACGCGTTTCCCTATGTCTCCGAATCACCGTCACCTAACCGCTCTTGACGCACAGCTCCCCGCGTCATTTGACAGTCAAGGCATTTCGCACGCCGCTCGTTATGGCCCCGTGGCCGCGTCCGTGCCATCGAAGTTCGGGTTGGATCTGGCCTCTCCTCCGACGCAGAGAATGGGTGGTCCGTCAGATGTACTTCGTACTCTCCGTGACACAGCGTATGGGTCTGACTTCAGAAAGCCCTCGTCGTTCATGGGATCATCCCCTCCAGGTATTCCCGAAGATGGGGTAGGACCGAGATTTCTACACTCTGCTAGGCCAGTGAAGTCGCGCATGCTTTCGGCCAGTGTTCCCCGACCCACAGCATTGGATGACTGGGATGACAGCAACTTCCCCATGGAGGAGGATTATCTGCCAATCAATTTGCACGATGACGTCCTCACCCCTCAGGAGAAACTCCGACGTCTTTCGCGCACCGATCATGATCTCAGTTCTAGCCACCGCGATTTGAGCGGACTCGGTATGACCAGTACCAGTTTCTCCAAGATCGGCTCTCCGCTCGCATCCAGTCCGTCACGGTTCGGTGCCTTGTTTGCCAAGCAACGCCAGCAGAAAAAGGATGAAGACTCCCATGGTACATCGTTTTCGCACATCGGCTCGCCTCTTCGCGAGTCCTCCCTCAATCTAGGTACCAGTCCCAGCTTGGGTCCCATCGGAAGCCGACAGATCCCTGGCGATGTCTCTCCATATGTGGCCAGCCCTGGGAGACAGTCATCGACATCCATGATCTCTCAGCAGCTGAGTAGCATGTCTCTTTACCCTGCTCCTGCCCGTCACTCCTCCGCAGTAGGCTCCAACGGTCGCCTGGACCGTACAATCTCGTCGCCTGTCAGCACAAGCAAGATCGACGAGGAGCAGAGTGATTTAGTCTTCTCCATGGAGGAAGAAGACAGCAGCAAACGGAACAGTACTTCTTGGGCCACCAATAAGGCGGATTCCAACGATGGCGCATCGACCCCCACAAGCAACTCAGGTTTCCAGCCATGATGTTGTTGAAAATAATTATCTGGAGAACCAAATTTGCACATGCATCCATGACAACATTAAAGCGCGGAGTTTATGAGCAAAAAGGAACCATGGGAAATTAAAAAGCAAAAAAGTTGCGCCACCAGTTCAAATTGTGTTCATACCTCGGCATTGAAAAGGAAAATAACGGTCTTGTGGATGCCCCTGGATTTTACCCTGCTTGCATTGCCTTTTCGTCGTTTCGTCATCGTGTTTCGCATTTTGATGGGAATTTTGCATAGAACGGTCGAGCGAACTATCTGGATTTGACTCTTCCTGTTTCACAACCTCGGTCACTAGGTCTAGGACCAAATCTGGCATTTTAATTCAGGGTGTTTTGTAACCCGGTCGGGGGAAGTGCTGAGACTGTTGTCACTCTTAGAATTCTTCTCTTCTCTTTTCTCTGGTCGTTTCATTTGGGTTCATGTTTTATCTTTACTCGGCGACTCCGAAGGTCTACGGAGGAAGGAAAGGGAATTTCGACTCAGGTTCAAATCCATTCGGGTTGACGGTTGATCGACCTCCATCATCCAGCAGGTTCTTTTGTGTATATTCTTGGTCTGCATCGTTCGATCTTCACTCAACCTTCTTGTTCTCCCTCCAATCTATTCTCCTTGGATCAATCTCACGAGGCAATGACGTCCTGTTTCTTACCGCCTCCTTTGTCTATCCCACATGTTCGATATAGGGATTGAGCTGCCCGTGGTCTGACTCGATATCTTATCTGTGCTCCAGTCAGCGCATGATGCGTTTGTGTACGGAGAGCTCGGGTTGTTTATTTTTTTTTTCAGGCAGCATCTCCCGGCTTTACTGCGGGGACAATTGCTTGGGTATGCGGGCCCAAGGGATTGATGTACATATCTGAGTCGAACAGAAGATGCTAGGTCGTCCATGGCCTAAGCGCATCACGAATTCTGTGTCGGTCAATCTGGTCCTAAGTCTGGTCCGACAGGCAGGTCCAGGGATTACTTGAACTTTCAGCTTTCATTTCAGTATCTTAATGCTACTAGTGTACACACGGTTGTAATTCTCGCTCTGCCCATACCAGACTCCTGAACATTACGCGCCCTCCCTTTTTCCCGGTATTGATATTGTCTTTCAAAGTAAAAACGTGATAACGCTGAAGCTCAAACATGACGCAGTCCCCCTTGTTATTCTCATGGAAAGGCCCTGAGAAGCACCAATGATACGCAACCGAAGACGTAAATCCACCCCCTGGCACTAGGTCCTGGGGTCAATATCGTCCATATACATCGCACTACCTTTGAGGCTGACAGCGGTCGCTTTGCTAGAATAAGCCTGGATCTGCGCCGTCTTCTCTTGAGAGAAGCGATCAGCCATGATCCTGCGTGCGCGAGCCTCGGCATCCGCTTGCTTGGCTGTCTCTGCTCGGTTCGAGTATAGAAGTTCGTAGATCTTTTCCGTGCCAACCATGACATGGCTTGCCAAGATCTCAACAGCTTCGGCGGTCAACGCCTCCACGCGGACTGCGAGATCCGTTTCTTCATCAGCGCGTAGGCGTTTGACTCGCTCTTCTCGCTCGACCCTCTCAAGATCTTCTTTCCGTTTCCGCTGCTCAACAAGTTTCCGACGTTCCTCCTTAGCAGCCAGGTATTTCAAGGAATGACCTAGTTTTTGCTGAAGCGATGGAACGATGTCGAGTGGCGGAGCAGAGAAGAAAAGCACATGACCGGAGTCGTCGCAATGGAACTGTTCACGAATATCCTCCGGGATTGCTGCATTTGCCGCCTCGCTGAGGTGGTAGACCTCAATCGGACGAGGTGCGTTAGGATTGTACACCGATGCTGGCGGTACATGCACACGACCTGCCTGATATGGCGTATATGGAGATGGCTGAGCCGCCGCATACGGGTGCGGTACCGGCGAAGGTTGGTAAGCAGGGGAGTGAGGAGTTTGCGGTACAAACGCGCTAGGACGCCTCTGCAGGGCCGGTTGATAAACCTGGACTGGCGGTACTTGAGGCTGTTGATAGGCAACTGGAGGCACAGGAATAGGAGAGCCCTGGGTAGGAGGGATTGGGGCAGCTGGAGAGCGCGCAGGGACGGGGACTACCCCAACTACGGGAGCCGCGCCGGGACTATCCACGCTTGGCCGCGTAGATGGTTGGCTAATTGATGGCGGACGAGGAGGAACAGTTGGCAATACTGGCTGGGGTAACGACGGGGGCGGAGAAGGTGTCGGCTCAGGTGGCGGAGATTCCTGTCGAAGGAGATTCCAGTCAGTATTCCACAATTCAGAGGAGTTGACGGAGGAAAATCCCCGCCCGACTATAAGATAAGATACTTACATTTTCGTCGCGTGGACGTCGATGCACCGCTCCAACAATGGGTGGCGCATTATCGGCGCCCCAGGTTGGTTTGGGCAGATCGTCAGTTTCCTTCGCATCACTCTTCAGCAAGTGTTTGATGGGACTTGGTATCTTCTTGATCCTCCGAGGGACATCGAAGAGGTCCATCTCGTAATCTTTTTCTCGCACTTCATCGGGAAGGCAACTCGCCCATGTTTTAATCTTGTTGAGCTTGTGCTTCTCCTCGTTATAGCGTGCCTCACAGACGTATACTTCCTTGTCAGGTGGAAGGCCTCTAGGGCGCCCGCGGTTGTACCGAGTAAAGAACATCACGAAGCAGCGGTCGACAACCTCTTCGATCCGATGATCACGGTACTGGCCAGTCTTGACCACCTCGTTCGGATAGAAATGTTTCTCAAAGTGATGGACTGTCTGCTCAGGACGGTAGTACCAGCAAGCATTGACCCACTTTTCACCTTCAGAATCCTGCCATGTGCGGTAGATCTGTGCGACGATCGGCTTCGTCACATCGTTCGGATTCTGTATATGAACCCAGTCACCCACTTTCCAGAGCTCACCTTTGTACAGAATGCCATCAGGCAACGGGAGACGTCCATCCTCCATCAGATATTCGCTGTCGGGTTTTCTCTTCTCGATCTCGGCCAGCCTCCGAGCCTCCACTTGCAAGTCAACAGCGTCTTTGTATATCTGACTGTCCGGCTGGTTGTAGGCTTTGGCATTGTTGAACATCAGATCCATATCCCGCATGAAATGATCAACCGAGTTGTACTTCTTGCGCTTGGACTTCCGTTTGATAATGTCGATCGCAATCGGCTCCTTGATTTCAACGTAATAGTCCGGATATGTAGCTTTGTCTGGCAAGCGTTCAAAGTGCCGTACTTTGAGCATACCAAGAGGCCCTTTGAGCTTCCGGATCCCCTTCAAAACTGCTTTGATCCTGGCCTCCATCGGGGTATCGACGCGCGGGGGCCGGCCCCGCTTCTTCCTGAGCTCTGGGTCGGCCGATTTATGCCCGTCATCCTTCCCTGCGTCCCGTTTCCAGCCAGGGCGGGGACCGCGCTTCTTCTTGCGACGGCCATCATCATCGGAATCATCCTCGTCCTCCTCATCATCATCGTCCTCGTCTTCCTCTTCCTCCTCCTCGGGAAGAGGATCCGCCTCCGGAATCTCTCCTAGATCGGGAAGCTCGGCTTCTGCAGCGGTGATAATCCCTTGTTTAACCAGTTTTTCAAATTCTGCTATGAAAACGTCCTAATTTGGAGAACAAGGTTCAGCACCGTGGTATTTGGCGACGGATATGGAGCCAAAAAACTTTACGAACCTTTATGACAAGCGCATCCTCATATGCTTGTGAATTTGGCCGATTATATGTCTGCGCATTGTGAGGGATCTAAAGCGAAGATACCACCGTAAGTAAAAGCCATCATCACTGATTCCACAATGGCAAATAAGCTGCAAGATTTACCAGGGCGCAGTCTCGCACAAACTCGGCGAAGTTCTTGTACTCTCGCTTGTTTATCTTCTGTTTCAAGATACTCAGGGCCATGGGCTCTTTGATGATCTCATAATAATCAGGAACATTGCGCTTATTTACGCTGCGCTGAAACAGCCTCGACGGGTCATGGCCACTGTAGAGGGAGGAAAGTCAGCTAACAGTAAATGACGCGGACAGAGCCCGACTTGTTGAGAGGTCTAGATTTGGGGGGGTGGGGGGGTTTCTTTCTTTTTTTGCTGTGTCGTTGCGCTTGAAAATCTCATCAAGGAAAGAATATCCGGACTTACTCCTCTTCTCTGAATTCATAAATAGCCAGGACAACATCCATCATCGACCTCCATTGCTCGTCGGTAACGCCGCCCGTCGCAGAACTATCGCCCTTGCCATCATCCTCAATCGATTTGACCGGCTCCTCAGGAGCGGGTTGGCTTTGCGACGGCTCCGACGCCTTTTCCATGCTGTGAACAACACCCCTACCACTGAGAGTGACACCCACGGTCAGAGAGCGATTGCAGATAGACTCAAGATAGCCGACCACAGACTTTCTGGGAGATGCAGATTGCGCAACCTGGGAAGCGCGCAAAAAAAGAAGGCGAGTTGAGGGAGGTTCGCGAAGTAATATTACGCTGACTCAGCAAGTTCCGGTCACTAAGGTATCTGACTGGAACGATACCATACGGTAACGATCTGAACGTTACCGTCAACTGTTTACCTACTCCATACAGGGCTAGGTAAGCTACATTTACTTGGTGATATTACACCTACACATTATCATCCATCTATGTATTCCAAGTTTCCAATGGACCTGACCTTACTTATTGATCTTTGATGTTTCCCGACCATCAAGCTTTGTCAAGAACCTCTGTGCTTGTAATTCGTCCTCCGTACCAGCTTCCGCTAAGTTGATACCTAAGGTACGGATTAGCTTAAGGACGGGCCAATGCGGGGAATGGGTGCCTTCTGGACGCATCTGTACGGTAGTACCTATCTATCTCCTGTTGTGAGTCTTCCATAGCATGCACGTCTTTCATGTCTACGAGCGCGGTCGTCTTTATTCTTTATTCCTAGCTTGAATCATCAAGCCATATTCTAGGACTTTGTCGGCCAACGCAATGGCCGGGATTTTATGCCCGAAATCTCTCAGCAACTCGAAGATACAATTCATCCCATTTCCCAGTACAAATCCACTCCGTGTCTAAGGACAATGCGCCGCCAGCCCCACATTCAAGTGGTTGCTGCTGGGCAATCGTCATTATTCCATCTCATCCATCCCTCCGAAGGCTTTACTTCGTTCTGGCCACTAGATACTTCCGTGTGCCTGATACTCTGGCATTTTTCCGATCTGTTGTCTGGATCCTGAAGGCTACTTCCGAAATAGTTGACATTCATTCTCGGTCTTGTTCCAATCTTTCCGGCGGTCTATCTACTTCGCTAGTGGGAGATGAGGATCCGAGTCCGTGGACCTGCTGGACAGTCCACCGTCACTCTTGATGACACCGCAACTGTCAATGATCTTCGCACTCAAATTGTCGAGAAAACCGGGTTGACAGCATATGATGTGAAGTATGGATATCCCGACCTCAAACGTCTGGGATTAGATGGGTTCCCTTCGGACCAGAAAATCAGAGACCTCGGGATCAGTCTAAATGGCGAACAACTGCTCGTCACCAGGAAGGAGGATTCTGCACCGACTACTCTCCCGCCGGCGCCAAGCGCCGGGGACAGTGAGAGACAAATATCCACGGCGCAGGAAGATGATAAGAAGCTGTCTCTATCGCGCAAGCCGCATGAGGGTGTGTCGGATGATCCTCCCGAGATTGCTTCCCCCGAACATTCCGGCACTTTTGTGTTGCGCATCATGCCTGACGATAACTCCTGTCTGTTTCGCGCGGTAGGGAGTGCAATCATGGGAGGAATGGACACTATGACGGAGCTTCGGTCAATTGTCGCCCAGACTATTCAAGCGAACCCGGACGTCTACTCAGAGGCAGTGCTAGAGAAAAAGCCAGACGACTATTGCCGTTGGATTCAGCAGGAGGACTCCTGGGGTGGGGCCATTGAGCTCAGCATTTTGAGCAAACATTTCGATATCGAGATCTGCTCAATCGACGTGCAAACACTGCGGGTGGATCGGTTCAATGAAGGGTCGCCCACACGGTGTGTCCTGGTGTATTCTGGCATTCACTACGATACCATTGCTTTGTCACCGTCGGATCCACCATTTACTCACGCTTATGCCCCTCCGGAGTTTGATACAAAGGTCTTTGACGCAGCCGATCCGGTAGTTCTGGAGAAAGCGCTGGCGTTATGCGAGATTCTTCAGAGCAAACATTACTATACAGATACTGCAGGCTTTCGCATTCGCTGCAACACTTGCGGCGGCATTTTCATCGGCGAAAAAGGAGCCACCAAGCATGCGACACAGACAGGACATTATGATTTCGGCGAAGCTAGCTGACAATGTCGCAATAGATACAGCCGGTTGCATGGCCCCGATATCTGGCCCTTTGGATACATTAGTGGATAAGATATATCTTGATCGGAGGGCGGACAGTTTCTGAAACCATATACAAAAGTATAATAGGGCGAGAGTCATGAACGTGGTAGTACAACACAGCGCGTTTATATGTAGCGGACTCGTTACATTGATACAAATCAAAATGCCGTTCTTTGTGGGATATCATAATCATACATGGTTTCCAACCCTTCTACACCATCGCTACTTCATCCGCCTCGCCTTCCTCTCTGTCGCCTTCCTCGTCGTCCCCAGTATCTGGGCTGTCCTCAGGATGTCCACCCCACTCCACGTCGTGCTCTATAGGTTTGGTGAAGAACTCGTGCAGCAAAGCTTCTCTGGCACTTAGTCTTTTGTACGGGTCCAGCTCCATGAGGCCAGCCAGGAGTCGAGTGGCTTGCCTCTCGCTCTCGGTCAATTCTTCCACACAACTGGCCCATTTCACCAGTTTCTCCCAGCCATAGCCCTTTTCGCCAATAGTAGGAATGTTGGTTTCGAAAATCTGACCATGCATGGCGGCTGCAGTCTTCATCCGACGGGTACCAAATATACTTGCCATTTCTATCATGGCATCAACATCGTCGGCGGAGTTGAAAAAAGGGAATCGACGTCCAAGCAAGGTTAACAGAATCACGCCGGCAGACCACATGTCTATCTTGGTTGTTTGAGATGTACATTTGAAAAGAACCTCCGGCGCCCGGAAGCCGCGAGTTCCCGCTCGATTAGCACGTCTTGCCGGCCGTGAGTCGTTCTTAGGGTAGCCGGTCGACAGCGTGGACGTAGAGCAATGCGTATAGTAGTAGCTCTGCAGCAACCGAGTGCGACGCACAAAGTTCGGGTTGGCGCAAAGACAGGTGCCAGTATATTCAGACCCCTCGCGCTGGAAAAGACGAATGAGAAATTCTGCAGTGAGAACCTTTTGAAAGTGGACACTTACTTCCGCCAGACCAAAGTCTACAAGGACGCCTTCGCGAAGCTCAGGGTTGTACAAGAAGTTACTGTCAAGGTGCTTAGAGAACGAGTGACGCAATGGCCGACACACAGCAATCCACTTACGTTGGCTTGATGTCTCGATGAAGAATATTGTGCTTATGGACGGAGTTTAGCGCAGTGAAAAGGGATCTGAAATAATGTCGCATATCGGCGACCATGAATGTGCGATATTGAATGCGAAAGTCGGTATGGGGAAAGAAAGGCAAGACAGCCACAACCTGGTCCTGGTGCCTGAAGGCAGTGATCAAAGGACACACGGACCGGCAGCCCCGAAGGTCATGGAGCAGCTCCAGTTCATTTTGAATCCTCAATGGACTGCTGGTAACGTAGATCTTCTTCAGCGCAACGTATCGCGGTTTTCTCCGCTTGATGACCGACTCCTCCACTCGCCGTCTCTTTGCTGGAGGACTTGACCAGTTACTGCTTTGGTTTTCCTGGAAAGTGTCCCAATCATTTTTGTAATGGTCGTACAAAAGGTCCTCAGCTTTGTAAACCGTTGAAAATGTCCCTACGGTGATCAAAGTTCAACGGTCAGCCATAATTCACCAAGTGGGAAGGGACAACTCCGAACATAAAAGGGATGTCGGTACCTTCACCAATCCTGTTCACCAGGCGAAATCTATCAGAGATCCCCGGAAATGTATCCTCGAGTTTCTTCATATCTTCCCGGACCGAGTCGTCCACTTCCTCCTCCTCCTCGTCCTCATCTTCATGGTCGCTCTCTCCGCGAAGTGAGTCTGCCGAGGCGTCACTGTCTGTGGCAGTACCATCGTCTACCACAGACATGGATCCTTGTGTGCGATGATGGTCCACAGCCCCAACCTTTTGCAGTCCAAAGATACCAGTAACTGGAGCGAGCATTGTGGACATGTCACTGATCAGATCAGAGACCACCACTATGGCCGAGCTGAGTGAGGGGTTCCTCAAAGATCTTGCATGTACCAATACGATCGACTAGATCAGGGGCTCAGACCACAGGGTTGGCAAAGGGTTCTGGTAATAAATGGATTATGCAAAGCAGCGCGCGCGTCGAGGATCTCTCAAAACATCGATTTCGCGGTTGGTGACGATGGTAGTCGCGTATATCATGTGTACAATCCATCAAACAGTTGGGTCTAAAGATAGTGAAAGCAGCATGCAAAATGTCCCAATTAGGTATGGTGGTGTTTGTTTATTTCTGCTCAGTATACAAAATTGATTACAGGTAATAAGGTGGTCTCAGTCTCTTACCATACAGGGTACTGTTCAATACCTTGCATGACTGAGGTAAAGAGGTAACTCCGTACGGAGGTGTGGTGCAAAAGTCCTCAGCAGTCACGTGACCTGCTAAATACAATCTCTGAATGCTAATTGGCTGTAGGTATGTGGGTCCGACAATGACTTTTGCACCACACCTCCGTACCTACCTTAGGTTTCTTCGTTTTAACTGACATTATGTTAGCTATCTTACCTACCGTAGTGCGAAGGTACCTTAGTACCATGAGTTTTCACCAAACACTAACCTAGTGTACATTCTATACAGTACTAGTATTTACAATGTAACATACAGATTTCACCCACCCCCATTCAGGATAAGAGATATCATGCCGCCATGGCAGAATGATCTAAAAAGGAAAAACACAAACAAAACCTACGGCACGCCTGCATCACCAAACATTCCCCTCCCTTCCCACCGCCGACTCTTTCACTCAAACTCATCCCTCTATACCCCCACTCTGAAGTGTGCAAGTCCCATTTCGTCACTCAACCTCTCGAAGCGTGCTCCGAGGACATCCTCGCAGTCGCTCAGCATGGAGGACAGGATTCAGTTTGATATCAACGAGTCACTCAAATATTACCTGAGTGATCCGGCCTCTGTTCCCACAAACGATGCCGACCCGGAACTGCTGGATTGCGAAAGCGACCCAGAGCAATTAACGCCAGCGTTGATCGATAATATACTCAATCCGATTGTAGATGCAGTGGCTGAGAACCCCGAAGCGTTGGCGAGACAGTCATTTTTTGACTCGCTGCAGTTCCTTCTAAAGTGCGCGACGGCCCCTTCTCCGTTCTCCGAACTTTCTGGCCCTGGTGGAACCCATTCTGAACTTTTCAATCTCTGCAGATATACGTCTTTCCTCCCTACGAAATCCCTCAGCAAACTCCTCGACCTGATAGTGTCCGGGCTGTCTATCGAAGCAGATACTATCCATGGAGATCTCGAATCCGACGAGCAGGATGCTATCCAGCATCATAAACAGCTATTGGAGATGTATGGCTTTTTGCTTCAATGGGCTCTATCTGCTGTGGAAGTCAAAGCGTCAGAAAAGCCCGCCGAGGCTGCGCCTGCTCGGAGAGGTGTAGGTAAATCGGGAAGGTCCAAGACCAGCAACAAGGATGGTACTTGGGACTGGACAGCGCAGATTCAGATATCTATGGAGACGATGTGCAAAGTGATGAAACTTAAATTGAGCAGGATCTTCATGACCACGTCGGACCGCGACGCTTTCATCAACTTGTTCACCCGTGCGATTTACCTCATCTTGGAGAGCGAGCAACGGGTCAAGAGCCTGACCATTCGAATGCATGCTTTCAAAGTTCTTTGCATTGCTGTGAAACATCATGGTCATGCTTTTGGTAGGATCCAAGAACATGACGAGCGGGGATGCCTGAGCTAATATGCTGTGAAGGAGCGCAGACATCCATCGTACAAAGCCTGACGTATTTTGAGCATCTGTCAGAGCCTATGGCTGAATTTTTACACATTCTTGCGGAGCAATATGACTATCCACAACTATCGGATGAGATATTGAAGTACTCAGATGCCTCACGCGTCACTACTAAACTATGGCTAATCGATCGCAGGGAACTCGGAAACAAAGAATTCAACTCGAACGATACACGAGGGCCGAAATCAGTTTCGGCCTTTATCGTGAAGCTGTCAGAGCTGGCACCGCGGCTGATCATCAAGCAGATGACTCTGTTGGCCAAACAATTGGACAGCGAAGTAATATGCCCAAGCCCATCTTATTGGTTGAATAGAAGATGGGGCTAATCATTTCTGCAGTCATACACTCTTCGTTGCGCTGTTGTTGAGGTTTGCGGAAATCTAATTGCGGATCTTAGCAGACAAGAAGAACGCAGTGAGAACTACAAAACCCAAATCAATGCGTTCTTTGATGTATTAGAAGAGCGATTTCTCGACGTCAATCCCTACTGCCGTTGCCGAGCCATCCAGGTATATATGAGGATTTGTGACCTCGAACAGAAGTTCCCAAAAAGACGACAGGCAGTTGCGGAGCTGGCGGCAAGGAGCTTGGAAGACAAAAGCAGCAATGTGCGACGCAATGCGATCAAGTTACTTGCGAAACTGGTCTCTACCCACCCATTCAGTGTAATGCACGGCGGACAGCTTTCCTACAAAGAGTGGGCAGCTCGTCTCGACAATGTCGATGCGGAACTTAATGCACTAAGGCCGCCCGAGACACCCGGCTTCGACGGTGGTGAGGCTTCGCATGTCGACAGCGAGCTGTTGGACGACGCCACCCAGATACCTGAAGATTCCCCATCGAAGGCCCCACGCATGACCGACGACGAAAAAGCTGCGGCCATTCAAAAGGCCGCGGAACAGGCAGCGACGTCCGAACTACTGGCGCGACTGCAGCTGACCAGAAAATACTACAACGAAGCCATCCGTTTCATTGAGGTGCTTCACTCCGCCTCAGCAGTGGTCTCCCAGCTCCTGTCATCTCGGAATAAGAGCGAAGTCATTGAAGCCATGGACTTCTTTGTGGTGCTTGATGCGTATAAAGTTGAGACTTCACGCAGTGGCATCAGGCGGATGCTGCGACTCATCTGGACCAAAGGCAACAGCGATGAAGGCAAAGGAGTTCAGACCCATCTGATTGACTGCTACAAGGGTCTGTTCTTTGATGCGCCGGACTCGTTCGGCCCCAATGATGCCGCAAACTACGTTGCCCGGAACATAATCAGTTTGACCTTTGGCTCAACACCTGCCGAGTTGACATGCCTCGAACAATTGCTCAGTACCATGATGAAAGCTGGTCACATTTCCGATGCGGTTATTGCCAAGCTTTGGCAAGTCTATGGTGTTCAACGCAAAGAGATTTCCAAGACTCAGCGGCGGGGTGCCATTATTATCCTCGGTATGCTGGCCCTGGCAGATCCGGATGTTGTAATCAAGGAAACCGAAGTGATGCTGCGCATTGGGCTTGGCAACATAGGCAGAAGCGATCTGTTGCTTGCAAAATACACCTGCACTGCGTTGAAGCGAATGGTGCCTGGACGGCAGGCGAAATCGAAAGATGCTGGCATTCCCAAGCTAGCAAATGATCACCCCGTTCTCAGTAAGCTTGCCGCCATGGTCGAAATTGTGTCGGACAGCAAAGAGTGGTATGGTGTGGCAGAGCAAGCCATTGGGGCCATATATACGCTCTCGAAGCATCCAGATGTCCTTTGCTCTGATATTCTAAAGCGTAAGACTAGGTCTGTATTCCAGCCGCAGTTGCAACGGCCTTCTTCCAAGGCCTCCGGTGATGAAGACGAGCAGCGCCCCGGAACAGCCTCCACTGATGGTCAAAGCCCGCGGCCAAAGACATCTTCTGCCGCACTGTCTCAGTTGCTTTTTATTGTTGGTCATATTGCTATCAAGCAGATTGTCCATCTTGAGCTATGTGAACTTGACTTCAAGCGTCGCAAGGCAGAACAGGAGAAGAATAAGGCTGCCAACACAGCCGCTCACAAGGACAATGAAGCGGGCGAGGACGATGAATTGGACCTCATTGGTGGCACAACCGAAGATGATTTCACAGAGGCCATGTCTCACATTCGAGAACGGGAATTGCTCTACGGAGAGAATTCTCTTCTGTCGAACTTCGGGCCCCTGGTTGCGGAGATTTGCGCTAATAGTAACGCCTATCCCGATCGCAACCTTCAGGCGGCAGCCACTCTGTGTATGGCCAAGCTGATGTGCGTATCAGCCGAGTATTGCGAAAAGAACCTCCCCCTCTTGATCACCATCATGGAGCGCTCAGAGGACCCAACCGTTCGCAGTAACGCAGTTATTGCTCTTGGGGACATGGCTGTTTGCTTCAATCATCTCATCGACGAGAACACAGACTTCCTATATCGTCGACTCAATGATGATGATGTATCAGTCAAGCGCACTTGTCTGATGACACTCACATTTCTTATTCTAGCTGGACAAGTAAAAGTCAAGGGACAGTTGGGTGAGATGGCCAAATGCTTGGAGGATGATGACAAGCGGATCGCTGATTTGGCTCGCATGTTTTTCACGGAATTGGCAACTAAGGACAACGCAGTGTACAATCACTTTGTCGACATGTTCAGTCTGTTGAGTGCTGAGCGGAATCTTGAAGAGGGTGCTCTGAGACGTATCGTTAAATTCCTGATCGGCTTTGTTGAAAAGGTGAGTTATTCAAAATCTGACAAGATGCGGTGCGTATCTATTCGTCGCAACGAGTATCTAACTGTTTCTTTTACAGGAAAAACATGCCAGGCAGTTAGCCGAGAAACTTGCTGCTAGACTGCCTCGATGCGAAACCGAGCGCCAGTGGAACGACGTGGCTTATGCTCTGTCACTCCTCCCTCACAAGAACGAGGACATCGCAAAGACAGTAAGCGCAGGTTTCAACAAAGTTATCACTGCAAATGCTTGAGTTAATTGCGACGATGGTGTTGGGGTTGGATTAGTGACGGATCATGAGCATTCCATTTCTGCCGAGGAGTAAAGGCGCAGCTTTCTGGGACTGGGAGGAAGGAAAGGCTACATATGATTATGGGTACATGACTTCATTTAGATACTACTCTCCTATTTTGTTTTACCATGTTGACTTTTGTTCGCATTTTGAACGGTGGATCACAATGTATAGGGCTGATTCCCGTACCTTCAAGAATATGTATTCCCCGGTTCAGATGTTATGTATTCAAGTCATTCTTCTGAATCTGCTCAGAAGAACGCAAAGTAGGGGTCATGAACACGAGGGTGAGTTCTTGAAAAGCAATAATCTTGTATTATCAACAGGTAGTTAACGAAAATGATAGATTGATGGCACCTATCGCCTCCAGGTAGTCGAAAGGGGCAAGACGCGCACGAGGCAAAGCAAATCTTTGCCCAATGCTGCACAAAACGTGGGAAGATGGAAGGACCAACAAAGCCCACCAGTGAGCTGCCAGATACTCCAGGTTCAAAACCATCCCATATTCAAATTTCAAAACTCAGCCCAAAGGCTCAGGCGCCTTTTCTTTCGCTTTCCGCCAGTTTATAGTCGCCGTGACGAAGGCCCTGCAGGGCTTTATATCCCTCTTCGGTCAACTCTGGTCTTCCTAACGGTGTAACACTCCCTGTGAAAAACCGCGGCTGCCACGATTCTTTCTTCTGTTGCCGCTCTGCTGCCCTTTCTCGCTGTCGCTCTTCGATTTCTTGCTTGAGTCTTGTAGCCTCACTATATCTTTTTTCCTTGATGGCTTTGGTAACCCCCGCCCAAAACTTGAGAGATTCGTTTGACAACTGGTCTTCCTCGGGAGGTAAAGTCTTTGGCACTGGGAAGAGAGGCGTTACATCAATCAAGAGACGAGGCTCAACTGTTCCAGCCATGGTGTAATAGATCTGTCCATGCCACGACCCGCTGATCTTGGCAAGAACATCGCCCTCGGGCACATCTTTGATTCTAGTGATGGTATCCTGGTTCGGGTCATACCGGAAAATCAACCCTTCAACCTTGTTCTGGGCTCGACCAAGCCAGCCGTCCTCCAGATACTGTAGAATGACCTTGATGCGGGTTTTGGAGCAGATGATAAAACACGTATCCGAAACTGAAATGGCCAGCGCACCTCTCAATAGCCCACCAAGATGAGCACTTGGATGGGTCAGCTGGTATTCCTCATTGTCTCTCTTCTCAATATTGACGAAGATTCCCAGGTTGTGTTGACCAGGAGCGACGCGAATGCTCGTGCCTGTGAATTTGGCACTGAGCTGATCAAATCCACGAGCGGAGACCCCTCTTGCCGGGCAGTCTATAAAGAAGGCAGACACTGGTGGATGGTGTGATGTCTGTTCGGTCAGATAGCATATCTTGACGGTTTCTCCGCGGTCACCGCCATTGGCAAGGGTCCCGTTTTGTACGCCTGCTGTCGGAAGCGAGGATATGTCGGGCGCATTGTCTTGAACCTCCCAACTACACTGAAAAGGCCGAATCAGTCGATACTGTCCTGGCACGCCGCGGCGGTCTGCCCGTGTGCGTCGACACTTACCCGAAAGAACTCACCCAGTGTCGAATTGTAGGGTTTGCAAGGTTTGCCTTTGATATATTTCTATCATGGGCTCAGTGGATATCTTTGTCAAGACACCGAGTTGACGTTGAAGACATACCAGATCCTTGGTAAACCAGAACCTCAACACTTCCAGCATTCGACCAACGGGTTCATCCGACTTCCCTATGCTGTGATCTTGCCTGTCAGATAGCGAGCCTATGCGGAGTACGGAAAGAGTATCATACTAACCTCGCGAAAGTTTCCGGTCTGTCGAGGTAGTTCCAATATTCTAGAGACGGTCAAGCTTCGTCAGACATCTGTCCGTCTCGCATCGAACAACGCAGCCCGGATCGACTCACCCAAATTCGGTGTGGGCTCCAGAAGATTTGCAGGTAAGGAGAAACGGACAGATGCGATGTCTGCCACGCCAACGAACCTAACATGTGCAGCCATCGTATTAGGTCCGAGACGTACAACAATAGATCTCGAAGCAGTACGTACTTGCGGAGAATGGAAAGGAAAGTTTTCAGCTTAGACGAGTCATCATTTGCCTTGTCGGGTGTCTCTGTGGCTGCAACAGAAGACATCTTGGGCAAATTCGTCTATATACAGTGTTAAGTGCCGTTTCGGACGAGCAGTGGAGGCAAAAGCAAGATTCCCAAGGGGTATGTCCAGCGTCCAGTCAATCCAGACACAGAGGAATGCCAATCTCGATCGGACCAGTAGCCGAGTCGACAGGGGAAGTCAAAGACAGCTGAACACAACGCGAATTAGGGGAAGAATGATGATGATCACGATATAAAAATCAAGATAGACGTCGCGTAGAACTCCAGGCGGTGACTTTTCTTCAGCCCCAACGGTTGAAGAATAAAAGGTAGTACCTTAGTTCCAGTTAGCAGATACGTCACCGACAATTCGTTATCGGACGAGATAACTAGTACTAGAATGACTAGACTAGTGAACCGATGGCGTTTGACAAAGGTGGAGGAGGAGACTTGGCTTTGATGAGTTTTGACCTATGATTTCTGGCTATTATTATTATGGGTCCTTGGCCACCTCAACCGATCGCAACCAGGAAGAAGACGGGAATCTCGAACGAGGATGAAGAAAGATAGAGGCTTCTCTTTCTCTTGATGGTGGAAGCATTATCTATCTAGATCGTCTCGTCTTTCAAGGCAGCTGGACAATTCGGACCAGCACATCCTTGTATAAGGTAATCTCAAAGCCATCTTCGGGATAAGAAAACAGAATGCAGGGCTGTCATCCAATCGGCTCACCACGAGGGCTCAGAAAGCTTTCCTGGAAGTTCTACGGAAAGAATGAAGCAGCCATATGAGCAAAGTAACAAAGTTGATTGGCGACAAGCGGTCCTGTCTCGTTAATATCGCCCTTTGACTGAATCAAGGTACAAAGCTACCTGAACCTTGGGGAATCTACGTGGACGAAGTAACTTTTGCAGCATATGTCCCCGACAGGTGTATTACATGCATGGCAATTGCCACGGCATTATATGAGCGAATGTCATTCATTCACCATAATCAGTCCTTGGGATTTCTCCGGGCCATTCTCATCGCGCAGAAGAAGTCTACAAGCCATGCCAGAAACTGATTTCCCCGAATCTCAGAAGCCTCCCTCAACCCAACAACTTGATCATATCAAGCTCTCTAAGATTCTTTTGCGCGCCAAGAACCGAATCCATGCTTTGACTGCTGGTCCGTAGTCGAACCGCCGCCCGGTTGCATAGTCATCGTCCGCCCGATGGGATTGCTGTTCTTCCAAAATGGCTGCTCGAAGCTCCCGCTGCTCGTTGCTGAGCCGGTATTGATGCTGCCTCAGTTCATCCACTGAGGCTTTCTCATACTGTACTTCACGCCCTGGTGGGATAATCACGCCCTCGATGCGATGCCTCGTCAAATTAAAGGAAATATCGGGTCCCAAAATTGTATTTTCGAGCAGAGAAGCGGGACATTCGGGCCCGGGACAGACTTCCTCGGCCTCCTCGCGGGAAGCCAACCAGCGGTTGACTGATTCCAAGCATTTGACATTGATTGCCAGCTTATCTTCGAGCTCAACAAGCGGATCCTTAGCCACGCTGAGAATAGAGAACTCAATTTGATCCTCTTCGTACTCCGCCATCCTGGTGAGAATGTTGGGCCGTACTAGAGTCAACCAGTCCTCGTCGGGCTCATATTCCCCTGGGTTGTCATCAGCTCATATCTACCGTTTGCGCAGATTGAACCCTGCTCACCGAGAGCTTGGGGCTGACGCTCCAAGCCGTCAAACTTCCAGACTTTGCCCAGTGCAGGAACAAATGCGATAAAGTGAAATCCAGCGTCAGTCTCAAACTCATCATGCCTGTTCTTGCCTGACCGAGAACGTTTGGATGTCGCCTCCACCTTCAGCTGCAGATCTGAATTCAATATGTCCATTCTCCTGTCTCTCAGAAGTGAGATGAAGTCACGATAACACCGTGATACGACGGACCAGGAAGAAGAAGGAACAGGGACGGGGTGGGAGTGTAAGAAACGACCCACCTGGCAAACGAGTTGTGTATCCGTTTGACGAATTCAAAATTGTTGATGGCATCGCCCCTCAACGCTGGTGTGAACGGCATCGTAAATTCTCTGAAATGTCGTAAATTGTCCCCAAGGTCGATTCCTTCGATGTTGTTCACAATGTTCAGGAGTGCCACGCTTGCGCAGGCATTACTGGCCGTCTTTGCAAGATAAGTCAAGGAACACGGTGTGTGAGACGTATGAAAGGAAGGAGACAGACCTGGTTTGCAAACCAAAGCCCTTCTGGACAGCTCGCTTCCTGCTTATCAGGATCATCTTCTCGCCAACGAAATAGAAAGATTAGACCATATATTGGCTTACTACTTGCATGTAAGCCTTCTTCAGAATCAACAGGCCGTTAAGAATGTCAGAGACAATGTCACTGGAAGAGTCATACTTTAAGAATGCCATCAATTCTTCGTCCAGTGAGACGACTTCTTGAACCTTGACCCCTTTGACTCCGAATTCGCGCAGCATCACGTTAAAAATAGCCTAGCAAGTATGAGAACCGGCTCCGTAGTCAAAGTAGCGCGCATACCGATAGCATAAATCTACCATCATACTTACCGGTTCCGACTCAAGCTCACAGAAGCCGTTCCATTTTTGCCTTTCCAACACATTGGCAGGGTTACATGGATCTGCAGTAATTGGGTTTGCCATCGTAAGATTCGACGATACAGATGGTGAGCTCGAACTGGCATTCACTCGCCTGCGTTTGTTGCGCTGGCTCATGTTGGCTAGGTATTTCCTTCGTAGAGCCTGGTTGGCAGAAGCTAGCCTAGGTCTCTTCAGGAAGATGTGTTCTAGGAGCAAGGTCCGACCGCGAATGATCAGCAAAATTGCAGAATGACACAACACTCATTAAGAAGCCAGGAGCCCGTGCCGGGTGTTATCAGGAAGAAACTGATATATAAGTTTGCCCGCCGGCTTCCTTTCAATATCCACTTGTGAGTAGGGGACAAGATGGAGATCGAAAACGTCTCCCAAGCCTCTAAGAAGAGAATAATATCAACGTCTTCTGATTATTGTATTTGCAGGTACAATCACCGAAATGACCCAGATAGACAACAAGGATATGGGGTAGATACCGTCCTGATGAAATAATAATGGATATCCACGATATTGAATTGGGGGAGCTGGTTCAACATTGCTGCTTGCTGATTGGACAAGACAAAGCTTCTTCTCGTTCTTCTTAAGGTTCCTCCGACGCGACTTCACGCGTAAGCTATCTATACCTATGAGTTCATCCATAGTATGTAAGGTAGTAGTAATAATAATATCTTGAAAATATGTACGAGGAAATCCTTATGAAAGTGTCAAATCAATGGAGACATGTAAGAGACCTGACCAGATACTCCACACCTGTTGATATTTCGATTGAATTAACCCTCCAGGCTGAGCGGGGGATACCTTAGCAAGAGGTAACGGAGGTACTACGGAGTACTTGAGTTTCAATCATACAAACCCAATTCATCCAGCAAATATGAAAAGATCTAGTTTGATTAGGAGCGAAATGGAAAAAATAAAAAATAAATTAAAATAAGAAGATGAAAATGAGGAGGAGAATGAAAGACTGAGCCGAGTCGAAATGAAGGGATAGGTAGAAAGAACATCATAGTAAAGGTACTAGTAGGTACTCTCTAGCTGGGGGATTAAGTATGCTAAAGGTGTCTGATCCGATCCGCACTTGTCGACCCGCTAAACGCAAAGCTCTTCTTTTTCCAGATTTCTAGCTACTTTTCAACAACCATAATAACAAAAGTTATTACTACATACACTTCTCTCAGAGGTGACTGCTACTACTGTTGCTGCTGATTCTAGGGATATTATCGATCTCAATCTGTCGCGATCTCAAGTGACAGTGCCACCTATCACCTAACTTTCATTTGGCGAGTGAGTGCAGTCGCGTATGGTTTTTTTTCCTTATTCAAAATCATTAGTATATTCTTCTGACTGTTGGCATCTCCGATAGATTGTGCCTTCGTATAGGCCCGACTCACCTCGATCAAGAGCGGGTATATCTCGGCGACCGCAGCATGCCATGAACGGCACTCCCCGACTTCGGTCTGCCTTTCCTCAGACCCCTCAAACACTTCAAAGAACAAGAGAGTATAACATTACACCATCGAGGCCTAAGCCGCGGGATATTGGGCTGCGGAAATCTCCAGTGAAAGCACCGCAGAGCAGACAGGACGCGCCTCTCGTTCCGACCGGCGTGATAGATGCCCCGTCGCAGAGGCTCTACGTGGTAGCTTTCTACCTTGCGCTCAATGCATGGCGGGTCTATGAGTCCTGGACAGCTTCAGACGAGCTGGACTCAACCTGGCTGTTTCTAAAATGGGCTTCCATTGACGGGATTTTTCTCTTTGGTCTGCAGGCCTTGCGCATACCTTGGCTTGAATGGGCGTTTCCAACAACGCTAGCGATATTCTTGATCCATGTAGTCGGTAACATGTTTCTCATGTTTCAAATTCCCGTACGTGTCACAAACCTGCCCTGCGATGTCGACTTGCTTACACCAAGCAGATTCCGATGAGTGCGTGGATCTCTGGAATCATCAAAGTGGCATACGACCGAGAATTATCCATTTCTGAACGCAGTGTCAAACCTGGTGATATCATTCATAATGCCTCTCTCATTCTCGGAAAACAGATCGTTCACATTTTGCCGGAGGGGTAGGTTCTCCTCATCAAGGATGCCTGATGCTCGCCTACTGACATTCTCCAGATCTGCCGTTCTGAACCCGGAACACATCCCCTTCTGTCTAGATTCTCAAAAAAGCACAGTCAATCTACCGATACGTGTCAATCAAACCGACCCAGTTCTCATAGAACTATTACGCCTAGGTCTCAGCACTGGTGAAAATGAAACGATTACAATCTCATCGAAGCAGCTGAAGCAGATGAAACGTCAGGCAGGGAAAAAATATCCGAGCTCAGATGCACTCCCACACCGTGATATACTCTACCCTATTCGGCGCACTGGCATCTATCGTTTACAAAGAGTCGTGGACGAGTCAAACCTTGAGGTCCGCATGCGCTCATCTGACGCCCTTGTTGTTTCTTGTCCGCGCGCACTAATCAAGAACTCTCATACTCACAAATGTAAAGGAGAATTATCTAATCTGGTGTTGGAGGTTGAAGGTACGCCGCCGTTGAAGATCAAATATAGTAGACAAGTGAATCATCTTGATCGCGGATTTTCCTTCCAGAATATCCAGCCTGATCACCTACGATCGCCATTGCTTGGGCAGAGAAGCTCAGGTATTCTGTTCGATGCACTACAGCCGGAGATCGCATGGGCCCAGAGTCAAAAGATTGAAGTACCACTGAACGAATCTCTGAACGTGGGAGGGGAATGGCTCTATACCATCGAAGAAGTCCATGACGGTTGTGGGAATATCGCAAATTATTCGACTCTCCTGGACGAAGTAGATCGATCGTCGCCAAACTCTTTGTCGCAGTGGCACCAATTCTTTGTACATGAAAGACCTCGTTTATCATTGTCTGGCTGTGACGACCAACATTTCATGGAGGTCGCGAAAGGAGAACATGTGAATCTCCCCCTCAAGTTTCACCCAGTTGGGCAAGGATATGACAAGGATGGGCCCTTCTCGTTGGGTTACTCATTTAAGGGTAACGAGCTAGATGAGATGGATGCGTCCGACAAGGTCCGCCAGCTCTCGCTCAAAGACCTTGACCAGAAGCCTCAGATAAAGGAATCAGGCTGGTATATGTTGAACTCTGTTTCGAGCCAATTTTGCTCTGGAGAAATATTGGAGCCTTCGTCTTGCTATCTTCACAACCCTCCGGAGCCTGAATTGGGCCTGAGGTACGAGAAGATATTCGACAAGTGTGCCAACAACTCCGTGGGTCTACTCCTTGATCTCGATCTCACTGGCTCGCCGCCATTCCGCCTGCGGTACAGCATTGAGCACTCGAAAGGTGTTGAAACCAAGTCGCTGACGGTCGATGGTCTGCGCACCCAACTCGATTTCACTCCATCTGAAGCGGGATTTTATCGATACCGCTTCTTGGATATTGCGGATACAGTCTATGCGCCTCGCTCTTTGAAAGATAAAGTGGCCGTCCTGGAACAGGACGTGAAGCCACCAGCCTCTGCTCATTTCCTTGGCTCCAGGGAAGTGCGCAGAGCCTGTTTTGGTGAACCTGTTTCCGTAGACGTTTCCTTCCTTGGGGAATCGCCTTGGACCCTGCAGTACGAACTGGTCCACAATGGCAAAAAATCCAAGCACGTCTTAGAATCCCATGCCGAGATTGCCACTATTGTGACTGAAAGACTCGTTAGTGGTGGTGAGTATAATCTCGTACTGACGAGCGTTAAAGATCGTTCGAACTGCAAACGGACTTTGAAAGATAGCATCAGGATCGATGCTCGTTCGAAGCCGCCTCACGTATCGTTTGGGCAAATTGATAAGAAGCGAACTGTGTCAGCCCTGCAAGGTGCAAAGGTCGATATCCCGCTGAGACTGAGCGGTGAACGACCATGGACGGTGAACTACAGAAATCTAGACGTTGACTCCCCTGCTATTGAGAAGACGTTTTGGCAGGAAAACAGTGTCTTGTCAGTGACGCAAGAAGGGCACTATGATCTCATTGGCGTGACAGACAGTTCTTGCCCCGGGTCTGTTGACCAAGCAGCTAGGGGTTTCGAAGTTTCTTGGATACCTAGGCCCCATATTGCTGCTGTAGACGGCTCTCCTTTGGTAATGGGAAGCCCCATTGAGAAGCGGGACGTTTGTCAAGGTGACGACGATAGTGTGGAACTTCGCCTGACAGGCAGTCCGCCATATAGCATTCAGTGCGAACAACAACGCAAAATGACCCGTGGCACGTCCTCTGTTCGATCAAGAAGCCTTAAGACAGCCCTCCATGTAACGTCCATGGAAATGGACACGTCTGAAGCTGGGCTATACACTTACAAGTTCAAAGAAGTCGGCGATAACCTTTACGACTATGACCCAAGAAGCGAGCCAGTGATTGTGACGCAAAGAGTGAATCCATTGCCATCTGCGCGGTTTGATTCTCCGGGCCACATTTATGGATTTTGTAAAGAAGATGTCAGTGGTGAAGAATCCATTCCTGTTACTCTGGAAGGCGTTGCGCCGTTCTTCCTGGAGATCAATATCAAACACCATTCGAACGCCAAACCCGAGATTGTGTCAATTCCCAACATCAACTCCAGTCGATACAATCTACCTATTCCGCGTCGTTATCTGAATCTGGGCCAACACGTCGTGAGCATTCACAAGGTTCGAGATGCGCGAGGATGTCAGCGGACGTTCGAGAACGATGCCTCAACAGTCAGAGTCTCCGTATCCGATGTACCGACAATCATTCCGCTCGAATCCAAGATTGACTACTGCGTTGGGGAGCGCCTATCTTTCTCCCTGTCTGGCCATGCTCCGTTCGACGTGTTTTACACGTTTGATGGGGTTTCTAGGAAGGCCACCTCCCGCACAACTAATTTCCGTCGCATTGCGGAAAGACCGGGTATTTTCACCATTACCGCAGTAAGCGATGGTGCCAGTGGGAAATGCAAAGCACACAAGAACATAACAAAAACCATTCATGAGATGCCTAGCGTTAGAATTAGCAGAGGTCAAACCTCTGTTGTTGATATACATGAGGGTGGAGAAGCCGAACTCCAGTTCGAGTTCTGGGGCACACCACCCTTCGAATTCACGTAAGTCTCCTACCTTGCACTGTTGCCCGTCTTTCCTGAAGCAGAGAAAATTGTGATTCTCATCGTCATTTCATAGTTACATCCGAAGTTCTATCCCCAGAAAAGGAAAGAAGCCAGAAGTCCTGGATATCAAGCACGACATCTCCTACGAGCATAAGAAAACGATCAAGACCTCTGACGAAGGAACCTACGAGGTCGTTGCCATCAAGGACAAGTTTTGTTCTTTCTCCTCGCAGGCGCAAGTAGAAAAGTCGGAGAAGCTATTGGCCGGATCATGATTTGGCGAAAGGGAATGAATGTCATTTATGTAGGCTAGTTGGAGCCGTTCATGTATCGCGTTTCTATTATCCCATTCCATGTTTTTCCTTCTTTTTATTTTCCAAGCATTGCATTGCAATGGCGCTGAATTAGTACATCCCGGAGAACAGGTCTACTAAGCACTACTTTCCGTGTCTTCTTTGTGCACGTCTATCCCTTCGATCAAATGTGCCCCCAACCTCGAAATCTCGTTCAAAATAGCCGTTTGGTTGGGGTAAACGTCTTCACTGGCCTTCATCTCTGGTTTCGCCAGGGCAACTGGTAATGTGGAATATGTCATCTTCAAACTCCAATTCTTGGGCTTAACCGTATGTGGGTTCCAGAGGCCTGCAATCACGTCGCATTGCTCATCGCCGTGAAAGAATATAATGTTTGGACTAAAGCACGCCTGCAATTCGCAAACGAATGCCCTGACCACCGTGAGCTTGTCGGCTCGGTCTGGTATGACCTGTTGTTGCAGATTCTTGAATCTGGATGATGATGCTAGGATTTCCGTCAGAGCCTTCGACCGTAAACTCAAAATAAAATCATAAGGTGATAAAGATGTATGAAACAGGTCGGAAACATCGAGAGCTTGTCCTTTTTCTCGCATCAATTTCACAGCCGCCTTTGCCAAAGAGGACATGCGAGCTGCCACAACCTTTGAAGGCATGTCATACTGTGTCCAGGAAATCCCGTCGGTATCAATATCCGAAGCCACGAACAGAGCAACATTATTCATTGCCGGGTCGACCTTTCGCCAAGCAGCAAAGCGCGTGCGTATCACTTCAACTGCATTTTGATCTAGCTGCCCGCCCAGGTCAATCGTTAACGGCTCTTGCTGCCAATCCCACCGTGAAAGCAGATGAAGGGTTCTCAGGAAGCCAGCCATGACACTAGACGGTGTATCCCATGGATATGACTGCGTGAACACCCGAACCGCGAACAACTCCACCAATTCGTCGTTTACATGACCTTTGAAAAGATGACAATTGAACCAATGCTTGACTAAGCGGACGGTGGGCGACAGTAATGGATGACGTGTACACAGGGTACGGATTGCTTGAGTGAGACGAGGTGATTGGAGAAACGTCCGCTTGTACATCGCCAGAGCGTACGCCACATCCTGCTTTGCTTGTGCGCTTTCTCCTTTCTGCTTCAGCAACCGTTCTAACAGGGTCTGCTCTCGATCATGATGGATGCGCAAGCGGAATATGACACCGGATGCATGGAAAATGTCAAGATATGCGTTATTGAGAATTCTGCTGGTCTCGTTTTCCAAGCCCACCCTACACGAAGTAGCGACAGCAGAGGATTCTAAGCAATCGCCTATTTTGACCAGAAAGGCCACTTTCGTCATTTGAATTGCGGCAAGATCATCTGGCCAACGCGCCGAGCTCTCAAATTGGAGCACCACATCGACACGTTCGCCCGGCGTGCTAGGAGCATGTTGAACCCGGAGGGCAGTGTATCGCAAAAGCGGGCTAGCAGGTGCTAGGTGTCTCACCGTCAAAGGGACACCTTCCATATCTTGAATGGACTTTTCCAACGAGCTGAAAGCATCCGCGATCAGCTGGAAGGACGGGCTAGTGTATGACACTATACCACTCCCGTAGCTGCGAAGTTTCTCCTCGAATTCATCGCCAATATAATGAATGTCTTCATCGACAAAATTGAAATGGCGCCGTAGGATATAAGACAAAATCTGAAAGACTATCGATTTTGAGGATGGATGATCGGACCACACAAGGCTCTCCAGAATGCTGCCATCTTTGAAGCGTCGGAGTTCAGCTTTCTCTCCCCAAAACGACCGGAAAGATGCTGCTTCTTCCTTTTGCTCCGCGGAAGGACCATGGTCGACAACGCGCGAAACATTCTCCGGGTTCATAAGCAGTCCGACTGATATTCTTTCCTTTACCTTCTTCGACGATGGTTTTCCTAGGACAGACCATGGTTCGATGGAGCGGCTGGAGATATGAATAAGTTTGACTCGATCTCCAAGAGCTTTCGAAAGAACTCCGTAGATAGCCTGCTGATTGCGAATAGCTTGAAGAATGTTTGCGGTGTCGGAAGAGGGGAGCGCAATGATCCGATCGAATCTCAACATGGGTTCATTGACTTTGACAATGAAGACTTTTTCAAAGTTGTCATCACGGGACTCATTCAACATTTTGAGAGTTATGCCCGCTTCGTGGCGAAGGAAAGCATAAGACCAAGGTGTCATTTTGTAGAGTATATTGATTCCACGTTTCCCGTCGTAGACGACTGGCCCATCCCCGGGAAATGAAACTCCAGCAGCAGTAGAAAAAAGTAATGGCTTGGTAAGGTCCCGGCCTGCAAGAAATTGTATAGTCGCTTTGAACAGCTGATAGCAACTATACGACTTGAGAAGAATCGGCTTCCCATTAGCACCGCCACCCTCCAACAAGAGAGACATGAGTAACGCCCACTCAAAACCCCCGAAGCCGCCCAAGTGGAACGATGATTCGAAACCCCGTTGCTGGAGCCAGATTCGGCCTAGAAGGCAAGCGTCTCGGTAAGAGTCGCATTGCCGAATGGTCGAATGTATGTGTTTGTGATAAGACGCGACGGTGGCCTCTGAGCGAAGAGCCGAATTATAAAAGGGCGTAGGCTGACTATTGCCAGAGTTCTCGCCTGAGCCGTGACGCACGTTATTCTTCGTTGGCAGCGTTCGAGAGATAGGAAACAAGTCATCTTCGATGGCCGTGATGACGCGGATTTGGGACCTTGAGAGTGCCAAATCGCTGCTATCTGTACTGCTCGGTTCCAAGATGAGGACTGGGCGAAGGCTATCGCCTTCCTGCGTAGCGAATTTGACATCTAGGCCTAGGTCTTGCGCTTCCCGAAGGCCGGCAGCAAGGCATGCAATGTAGTACGCTCGTTTGTGAAAGAAGCGGTAATTAACATAATCTTTCTCCTGGAAAAGTGCACGTGGCATTGTCACTGCTAGATCGATTGTGTACTTCTCTGTCTGTTTGGTACCGGTTCTCGAGGCGAAACTCCCTACCACATTGATGTTCGTTGGCGGAGCATAAGCTACAGAGTATCTTGTCTCCCTCGAGGGTCGAGGGTCTGGGAAAGGGACGACAATGCCATGTGTGGTGCGCAATTCCCTCTCCGCCTCAAAGGCTGGCATCGGAGGTCTCTCGCAGAGTCGTTCGATGGCATCCTTTACTCTGTGTAAAGCCTCCTGAACTCTTGAGACCTGTTTGTCGTAATTTGGCTTCGACGACGACAGCAGTTCATCCAATTGTAGTTTGAAGAAGCTGGACTTGTAAAGTCCACTGGCTAGAGCAAGTTCTCCAGAGCGGTCGTCCTGCGCTTTTCTGGTTAAACCGATACTCTTCGACGGCTTAGCATCCCGGCCGTTTGAGCTGGATATATCGCACAACTTCTGAGTAGATACATTTTCTGGAGGCGGGCTTAGTTTCCTTCTCTTCGCAGTGTGGGCTGACATGTTGTGCAAAGCAAGATGACTGCGACGAATTATAAGGAGAATGAGGGGGGGGGAAAAGCGAGAATATAAAAGCAAAAAAAAACTTAGAAAATCAGATCAACCCAATGAGGTAAGGGGGGGAAAAATGCTGTTATGAGTTTAGAAGTGCAACATTTTCCACTGCAGCAAATTTCTAAGACAAATTTTCTGAAGCCATTTCCTGATTTTTGTTTAGATAAGCACTAGATATCTTCACAGCTCCACGTGATAAAAAAGCTTGTAGCCAATCAAATCGACGACCTCTACTCTGAAGTACTCCGCGCCATGCGACGCCGCCGAAATCGCTCTCAGCACATAGTACGGAGTAAGGTGCCTTAACTAATTACTCAGTCCAGCTACGTACCACTAATTTTCTTGACTCAATCATCTCTCTATCCTTGCTCATTTCGAGCTTTGAATTATTTATTGAAATATCTTCTTTGATCTCTTTCGATCAATTTGAATCAATTCTACACGCACTAGCGACCACACCTTCTGACCGATACTATTCCGTGCTATCATGCTCCAAGATGTCGGAGGTCCTGTCCCCCCAAACACTGACCATGTATGTGCACAACCCGAGTTGCTTCTCTAAGCCCCGCCAACACCCTCTTTCATGGTTCAATTGTGGGATGATTCACGGAGTTTTCGATAACAATATGCGTTTGAATATTATTGTCTTTTACCTGGCGACTACGAACTCTGAAATTGACAAGCGCTTTCATTCTCGGAGAAGCTGACCCAATGTCAAGGCAGTCAGTGTATCACTTCCGACGTGGAGTGCGAATGTAGCCTACGAAGAAGGAGAGCCGTGGATTGTGAGAAAGATGAAATGTGGCTATCCTCGCTTCTTCATTCACCCCATCATTCATGAGCTTGCGAAGGAAGTTGTAAAACTTTGTGGAAATACCGAAACAGAAGCGGCTACTTTATTCCCGTCACCCAAGACTGCAAGCTTATGCCGGTCATTCATTCTTTCGAGGATTCCCTCCCAAGAATCCCAAAGAATCCGTATTGTCAACTTCGTCCCGGCCCCTCACACAGAGTCCCGGCCACAGACGATACGGTCACCCTTATCGTGTGTGATTTACCCAACAGAATATGCTTCCATCGCCAAGCAAGTATGGCAACATAGTGGAAATGGGATATCCAGTCGTCGGGGCGAATTTTGTCTAAGCGCGCTGCGAGATGGATTCCTTGTGGAGGACAAGGAACCTGCACAGATTGACCAATCGTCGCAGAAATTTTATAAGGGTCCACGGCGGTATCAGGGAAGAGCGAATGGTATAGTCCGGGGCGGTGCAATTCACGCCTCAGCTCCTGACTTGTTGACGGAGAATACTGAAACTCAGGACGGCCGTGAATACGTCCAATTTATCGAGGAGCGCTTCGGCAGAAACTTGAGCGTTTCACTGGCTGATCAAGCGAAGCAAGCTGTGCGCAGACGAATCTCGGGCGTCCTCACTGCTGATGTCGATTTAAGTGAGGCTCTTGAAGAAACATCGGGAGAGGGTAGAGTAGCAGGGCTGACAGATTCCGATGTTTTTCTCTTCCCAAGTGGTATGAGTTCAATCTTCAATACGCACCAGATGCTTCTGGCTGCTAAAGGTCCTATGAAAAGCATTTGCTTTGGATTCCCCTACATAGATACCTTGAAGACGCTTGAGAAATGGGGCCCTGGTTGCCTGTTCTACGGACATGGTTCCTCTGAAGATCTGGACGATCTGGAATCCCGACTAGAAGGTGGCGAGAGATTTCTTGCGCTCTTCACCGAGTTTCCAGGAAACCCATTACTCAAATCCCCTGATTTGAAGAGAATTTATGCGCTTGCACAGAAATACGACTTTGCAGTGGTGGTGGATGAGACAGTGGGCAACTTCTTGAACATCAACGTGCTTCCTTATGCAGACATTGTTGTCAGCAGTCTGACAAAGGTCTTCAGTGGAGATAGTAATGTTATGGGAGGAAGTGCTGTTATCAACCCACATGGGCGCTATTATCAGGACCTGCGAACCACTTTCAGCCGTGAGTACGAGGATAATCTCTGGGCAGAAGATGCCGTTTTCTTGGAGAGGAATAGCCGTGACTTTGTGTCTCGAATCGAAAAGATAAACAATACCACGGAAGACATTACAGCCTTGCTGAAGGAATCCCCTGTCGGTGAGCAATCCAACATTTTGAGACGAATCTCTGATTCCATTCTCACTCTTTGTTAGTGAAAAATGTTTACTACCCTAAGTACAACCCTTCAAGGGTTTTTTACGAGGAGTTTCGCACCCCCAACGGTGGTTACGGTGGTCTATTCTCCGTCACCTTCCACTCTGACGCTGAAGCAATCGCGTTTTTCGATCATCTCGAAGTTCTCAAAGGCCCTAGCCTTGGAACAAATTTCACGCTCAGGTGAGTCTTCATATGCTCCCCACTACTCGTTCTTCTGGCAGCTTTGGTTTACGCATTTGAACCAGTTCGCCATATACGCTACTCGCACATTACAATGAGCTCGACTGGGTAAGTGGTTTCATAGGATTCTTCGCCCCCCATCCTCCTCTTGTGGTTCGATGTTTCACTCCCTTCGCCTGGATTAGCGCTCTCCGCTAATTGCCCGTTGCAGGCTGCTTCGTTTGGTGTGGAGTCTAACCTGGTGAGAATAAGCGTGGGTTTGGAGGATGTATCGGATCTCCGCGACCAAGTCCAGCGAGCCCTCGCAGCAGCCGCACAAGCGAAGGCTTAAATCAGGAATGTGTTTCATGGGTTTTGAAGCTCGGGTATGTTGATAATGGGATTACCATCTCACTCAACAATGCCCACAATACAGACTCGTTCTTCACTGTTATTGCTGCCTATCCGCCAGCAGAAAAGAATTTATTCAAAATAAGCGAGAGTTTGCATTGGCGACTATTCACAGGCCTGGAGTGGTAAGCATTGCATAATAATTAATCAGCTTGTGTGCAATAGCATCTCTCCAAGTTAAGACTTGTTAGTGCCTATATATATCCTAGTCTCCCTTCAACATCACTAAAGTTCGGCAAAGAATAGGCAGGACAGGACGAGAAGCTACTCGCTAACACAAGGTCGATATGCGTTCCTTATAACTATATATGTGAATGAATAAAGGCCAGGTCCTCTGAGGATTTGCCATTTACCATAAAAATCAAGGCAACAATGTCCAAAAAAGCCCACGGAGGTACTTCAACATATTGTTTGATCGTTAGCATCCTCACCATGGTTCTAATTTGAAGAATCAGTTGTTTTGGGCAATGATCAGGTCCTCGCTACCTGTTCGTCTCACAGCCTGTCGCATCGTCTCTATGTTAAACTCGCCACCGACGTTAGGGGAGATTGGCCTTTGGACGGCTAACCGTGGGCTACCTGCGGCAAAACTTTCCCTCCTCGAAGAAAGGTCCAATGCCTTGATCGAATTCGGGGTGCTAGTGACCGGAGATGTATCCAATTCATGAAATACTCTTGGGGAATGCAATGGCGATGGAGAGCTGTTTCGCATGGAGGGTGACCCTTGAGAGGATTCACGACTAGAGAGAAAATCGGTAGCTTCCGCATGCTCAGCATTGACGACATCAGCGAATGATACGAAGCTCAACCTTCGTACATCGGTACTCTCCAGCGCCTTGCATGGCGAATGAGGCTCTTCAAAATCCTCGGTACCATCTCTAATGTGCCCAAACCACGGAGACGGCAGCGAGGGTTCCGCAGCGAAGGCACCGCAAACTCCGGCTGTAGCAGATTGGTGGATGTTATGTGTGACGATCTCAACTGTATCCGGGCTAAGGTGGTCGTCCGTGATTGCGACAGAGGATGCCTCAAGTACAGGGGGAATATGGTTTTCCATACTTATATGTGAAGGGATCGAGGGTGAAGTATGCACTGGTAAGAGATCGTTTTGCACGTCGCGCTCAAAGATCGAGGACGAAGACAAGATAGGAATCCTTGACTCTGAGTGATTTATGCAATCTGGTGCAGCCGGTCTCGGGAGATGTCCCGTTGTATATGATACGTTAGGGTACTTGTCGGACGACTTGGAGTGCGCGTCAGCAGCTGACACAAGTGTATCTGGAAGTGCGGCCAAAGCTATCTGGTCATCATTTTCGATCTTGTGGTCTTTTCTTAGGTTCCGCTGGCATTCCGATTCGATCCGCCTTTGGTCAGTGACATTTGATTGGCACTCGTCGATAGATGTGTTCTCGACATCTCCACGTTGGCCTAAGTGACTGCTCCTTCGATGATGAATCATCGAGTTTGTGCAATCCTGCGTATGCATGCCAGGTGATCAGACCTGCACTCTTCGCTGAAATGGGATAGCTGTAACAGCTTCGCACATCACTACACCGGTGCTGAAGCTCTAAACACCTTGTTGAACGCTTTCTGCGCAAGCGTAGGACCCCCCAGGAAGCTCCTGATCCTTTAGAGGTACACCAAGCCCCCTGATTCTTTTATGGTCTTGGCTCCAAGCGGTGTCACATAGAGTGAAGTGTCCGATAATTTGCGCACATCTAGCGACGAATCAAGGAGATTTCGAGGTACTTGCTCCCATGCAAGTAGGAGAGTCTGCACAAGGAGCTGACACGTGCAGAGACGTGACCAAACTTAGTAGGCTTTAGGGAAGAGAAACGAAGATGGGCATTAATAATATACGTTGAGGTGGTGAAATAAGATAAGGTTTGCAAAATCTAGAGTGAAGTCAGGCAGGTCGGATGATCTGAATTATCGTGTCATGGATTGAACCAGATGGTCGGGGTTATGACGTTGAAAGCTGTTATCTGACGGATTAGAAAGTAGGTTCAGGGGACATGGAAACATATACTTTCGTTAAAAAGCAATATTGTGATAAATAATTTTTAAAGAAACCAACAAATAAATTAGAAGAAATGCTCAAGGAAGGTCATTGTATGGTAGATAGCAGATTATCAGTTGTGGTCGAGGCGGAGAGTGAGTTGGCGGAGAGTGACAAAGAGCTGTTATTATTCTGTGATATTGCGCTCCTGATGGCATAGATATAAGGATCTTAGACATAACTGAATGGATACAGACAGGGTGCACTCAGTGCTGGCATAGGCACCTATCACCTTAAAAAAACTTGTTTTTCAAATGAGTGATGGAAAAAGTAAAGAATACCTAAGGGAGATTTTATCAAGCACCTTTTTGTACTCTCTAGGTGGTACAGATACTCTGTACTCTTTCGTTGACTGAGGTGGTGATTACTATCTTGACGTTCATATTCGGATTAATTTTACCATAGTACTTTAAGGTACCTAGTACTCCGTACAGGTACGACACCAGGTAATTGCCCAGCTAAGGTCCCTTACGACCAGAGGTACTCCATACTCTGGAGATACTTCTAGCAGAAAGGAAGTATAAATCTCACCGAGGGATCCTGCATATTGCCTGCCTATGCTAGTGACAGTGTTTCTCTACCTTACCTGGGTGTCTAAGGCACCTTACCTACCTACATACACAGGTACCTTAGCTCTTTCTACGCACAAAATACCATATGGGCTGTGGAGGCCTACCATATAGACGTAATCTATTATGCTTACCCATAGGTTGGAAACTCGTCCAAAGTCCTAGGTAGATACCAGGTCATCTCGTCTACTTGTACCTGGGACTAACTATTATTGCAAGGTATGTGGGTGAATAAGGCATGTGATACGACCATACTTTGGGCGGTACTTTGTTTACCGTATAATTACACAGCCTTGGGGACGACCTCTAATTATTCCGCTGTCACGGGACCTTCTATAATTCGGAAAAACGTTGGCATTTCATCTCAAACCAAACTTTGAGATTCCCTCCTTTCATAACTGGCCTAGGTTGGGTGCATGGAAACATTATCTAAACATTGACTTGAGAGGCAGTATGTTCATTGATGTCCATTCCAAGCACATCTTTCCTCAATTATGTGTCTTCCGCTAATCATTGATTGTATCTGGTTTCTAGGTTCCTGGCACCACGATCAAATTCAATTGCCAGTTGCCAGTATCACTTCAGATATTGCGAGCCATTTCCAAGCATTCAATTCCCGCAATGGCAACTTTCAGTGCTGTTTCGAAGAGGCCGTTCATAACCTTGCCGTTTCTAATACCCTCCTGCCAGCCGGTCGCTCTAGAGTTGCGCCGAAATCAGTCTTCGTACAGACGTACGAAACAGCGTCTCCGCGTTAAGCCGGATGCATCTTTTGGCTTCTCTTCGGATCAATCTCAGGATCACATCATCTTTAATCCTCCTTCGAGCGCTCCGTCTGTCTTTCATACGCCGACAAAATTTCTTCCCCCTGATGATGCTCGGAGAACCCTTCGCACCGACGCGTCAATGAAAATCGATCAGAGTCCCGAAGATCTTCCTCCTGTATTCAATTCGTCAACGGAGAAAAAGTATCACCTGACTCCGTCTGATATAGAGGAAATCCGCAAACTCAGACTCAGCGACCCTATGACTTGGAGCAGGTGGAAGTTAGCCAAGCGATTTGACTGTTCTCCGATGTTCATCGGTATGGTCTGCGAAGCCAGTCCTCAGAAGAAGGAAATTCAGAGACAGGTCTTGGAAGCTGTCCAGTCGAGATGGGGTTTGAAAAGACGGATGGCCAGAGAAGACCGTCACTTGCGGAAAGAATCCTGGGGCAAGGATGAATGAATATCGAATAGTACAAATTCTATGTTGTATACTAAGACTTAATTTGTTATGTCCCTACCAGGGGTACTTCCTTTGATCCCCCTCACTGTGCTTCTTCCATCAATTCTGATGTGTCTGTGTGATTCCGGAGTTATTATAAGGATAGCATGGTGCTGTATCACAGTTTACCATATTTGGATCTATTCGTAATCTGGCTATGTTTATTCAAGCTTTCCAATTTGTTCTGCTGTTTTTGAAATAAAGTAGAAAGTGAAATAACCGAGTTAATCCGCTCTCTCTGTTCGATCTGGAGTGCGGTTCGCCTAGTCGCGGCATTAAAAAGAGGTCGCGTGTGAGCGAAAGATATCTCGATTCTCGGCTCCACGTTTAGGTAACAGCTCTCCAATAACCATCCAATGATTCATCCGACAAATCGTAGGTGATTGCTACTGTAGCCGCCCAAATGCCCCTCCCCCTCCGTCGCATTGCAACGTCCCTGGCAGACCAAACTCTTCATAAGCTCTACAAAGCGTATCCTCAATCGATACTCGAAAGAAAGTGCTGGGGATCACAATTTATCCATCCAAGAACGAACCATACATACGCTCGCCGATCGTCTTACGGAAACATTAGTGACCAAAAAATGGCGCCGCAACTGGAACCATTTTTCAGACAGTGCGTTTGGACTTTCTGAAATTTCTGTGGGATATTTCGTAGACTGACCTTCAAATTTGAATCGTCTTAGGGTCGATGAATTGTCAAACTCTTTTATCGACCGTATGGCCCTTTGGCTTGATCCCCCCTTCGACGCATACTAACTGAAGCCAAGGGTTGCGAAAGGCTGTCGCGATTCCATCTATTTCTGCGAATGATGAGAACAGGAAGGATGTCTTCAGGGTAAGCAGTGCAGGAACAATATCACGAGACGGACTGATAACGTGTTTGATCTTAAAAGATGGCTCATTTCCTTGCCTCGGAGCTAGAGGCACTTGGAGCCGAAGTTGAACAGAGACCCTTGGGCAAACAACCAGGCAAAGAACATCTTGACCTTCCCCCTGTTGTGATCGCTCGGTATGGCAACGACAAAAACAAGCGGACAATCTTAGTCTATGGTCATTATGATGTGCAACCTGCCCTCAAAGAAGATGGCTGGGCTACTGAACCTTTTGAATTGACTGTAGACAGTCAAGGAAGGATGTTCGGCCGTGGAAGCACAGACGACAAAGGTCCTGTCTTAGGTTGGCTGAATGTCATTCAAGCCCACCAAAAAGCCGGTGTCGAGCTGCCCGTTAACCTTCTCTGTTGCTTCGAAGGCATGGAAGAGTATGGCTCGGAAGGTTTGGAGGAATTCATTCAATCCGAGAGCAAGAAGTTTTTCAAGGACGCAGACGCCGTTTGCATCTCGGACAACTACTGGCTCGGAACTGAGAAGCCCTGCCTGACATACGGCTTGCGGGGTTGTAATTATTACTCCGTCAGTATCTCAGGTCCCGGCCAAGACCTACACAGCGGTGTTTTTGGTGGTTCTACGCATGAGCCGATGACGGATATGGTGAACATCTTGTCGAAGCTTGTTGACCCTCAGGGCAACATTTTGATTCCTGGCATTATGGACCTCGTTGCGCCCCTTACCGAAGAGGAAAACTCATTGTACGGCAAGATCAGCTATACAATGGACAATCTTCACGAGTCGCTAGGTAGTAAGACGAATATTCATGCAACAAAGGAGAGAACACTCATGGCGAGATGGAGGTACCCATCCCTATCTGTCCATGGCATCGAGGGCGCATTCTCTGCCCCTGGCGCCAAAACTGTTATACCAGCGAAGGTTGTCGGGAAGTTTTCCATTCGAACCGTTCCAAATATGGAAAGCGAAGATGTGAACAAGCTTGTCTTCGACTACATCAGGTCGGAGTTCGCCAAGCTGAATAGCAAAAATACTTTGGACGTGTGGCTTCAGCATGATGGAAAGTGGTGGGTTGCTAGCCCCAAACACTGGAACTTCACCGCTGCAAGCAAAGCTGTTAAGCAGGTCTTCGGTGTCGAACCTGATATGACTCGTGAAGGCGGCAGGTATGTACAGCATTCGGGTTTTACTTTCCAGATTTGACCACTATATCACGATACATTGGCTAATATCGACATAGCATTCCTGTCACTCTAAGTTTTGAACAAGCGACAGGAAAGAATGTATTGCTCCTACCGATGGGTAGCTCAACCGACGCTGCTCACTCCGTCAATGAGAAACTGGACAAGAAGAATTACATCGAAGGTACCAAATTACTTGGTGCTTATCTGCACTATGTTGCGGAGGAGCCCATCGGCGAAGTCTAGGATGCCTGTGACAAAGCTCCGCGCTGAGGATCATACTCGTTGAAGGTGTGACGCAATGTAGTCCTGGCTACTTTCTGCCTCTTCTATATTGCCATCTTGGTCTCCTGCGCACACTGTGTGTCATTCTAAGACTGAATCTCGATTCTGGATTCTGTTGAACACTCTGGCAATGTAGGCGCATTTCGGCAGTCTTTGTTTGCCCAAGATAGCAGAATATTTAAGGCTGTGGGAGTCATTTTTCCTCTTATTCACTCGTTGTACATTGCGAATCCTATTTTAAAGCCAGACTTGGTGAGGTAAATCAAACCGCCAATGAAAGTGGGAGGATATTATTGTCCTCTGTACCTTACAGAGTAGTCCTGTCGCGTTTGCCCCACGTCACTTGACCCGATGGAGGTAAATTTCGGAGTTAAGAAAGCAGTTAATAAGACACGCGACGACGCGACTCAGCAATACATACTCCGTACTACTAAGTACTAACTGTGCTGGGCTCCATTCTAAGACTCAAAATGAGGTATTCTTAACGCTCCCGCTTTCGCACATACTTCGCAGCAGAAAGACATGACGTATCGCTAGACGAGCATGATTCAAGAAATTTCGTGACCAAAAATTTATCCGCTCCTTGATGATGGTATCTGCAAAGCGCTTACAGGCGTCTCAGGACCCTGAAAGCTTCGATGATGAAGACGACGGCACATCCCTGACGTCCAGTTCGGTACGACTATCAATAGATGTTATACATTCAGCAAGTTGACGTGACTACACAGCGCAAACGTATTCGTAGGTCTGAAGCGTCAAACTCGGAAGAAGAGAACGAAACAAGCGATGCTGAGGCAAGGAGTTCTTGGTCCCTCACCGAGGCTCTGGATGATGATGAGGATGAATTGGAGCTGCGTGCTACACAAGCAATTCAAGAGAAATACTCTTTCGCCAACGACGAACCGAATGTCCCTACCGAACACGGCATCCTTGAGCGCGTTGAATGTTACAATTTCATGTGTCATGATCATTTCCAAGTCGAGTTGGGCCCATTGATAAATTTCATCGTGGGCAAGAACGGTAGTGGAAAGAGCGCTGTTCTCACTGCCATAACTCTCTGCTTGGGCGGTAAAGCCTCTGCAACCAACCGTGGTCAGAGTCTGAAAAGCTTCATCAAAGAAGGGAAAGAGTAAGTCGCATCTTGCAATATCAACTGCAGGCTTCTAACCAGGTTTCCCGCTAAAGAAATGCCACTATCGTCGTGCGACTCAAGAACCAGGGTGATGGAGCCTATATGCCTGATGACTACGGAAAGTCGATCATAATAGAACGTCACTTCTCCAAGAATGGCACGAGTGGATTCAAGATCAAAGCTGAAAACGGGCGTATAATTTCCACTAAGAAGGCAGAGCTTGACTCGATCATTGACTACTTCACACTCCAATTTGATAACCCTATGAACGTCCTCTCACAAGACATGGCTCGCCAATTTCTCAGCACGTCTAGCCCTGCCGATAAGTACAGGTTTTTTGTGAAGGGCGTTCAGCTGGAGCAATTGGATCAAGACTACAGGCTTATCGAAGAATCTGCTGATCAAATTGAAGAGAAGTTGAGAAACAGAGAGCAAGACATCGGGATCTTAAGAGATCTTAAAGATACAGCGGATCGCAGATTGGAAAAATCAGATCAGCAGGAATCACTCAGAAGTCGCATTAGAAACGTTCGGAACCAAGTGGCCTGGGCTCAGGTTGAGGAACAGGAAAAGGCAAGTTAGATGATCTGTGGGGCCTGCATTCCTATGTCTAACAAACCACTAGTTGAGGGACTCCTTGGAGGGCGAGCTCGCGCGGGCGGACGGGGAGATAGCAACTGCTGAGGCTCAATTGAGCGTATTTGACGTCAATATACAGGACACAGAGCGTGAATGTGCGGCTGCAGCGGAGTTCCTCAACCAGGCTACTTCCAGGCTTGATCAGGCCCAGAGCGAAAGAAACGAAATAAAAACCAAATTGGAAGAACAATTAAGCGAACGCCATGACCTGCAGGTATCCTCACTATTTTACGCCTGACATTTCTCAGCTTCTGATCGTCTTGCGTAGGCCGAGCAACGTCAAATTAAGGAATATCTCAGAACAACAGAGACAAGGATTCGTGACACTCAGAGTCAGATTGCTGAGGAAAATCGGCGCCTGGCAGATCTTAGTGGCGGGAGCTATGCTCGAAAAGAGGAACAAGTCCAACAAGCAAAGACCGAGGCCGCTGAGATTCGGAGACAGTGCGAAGAGCACCAACAGAGTGCTCGCCAGCTATACCAAGAAGCCGAAGAAGCCGAGAAGGCAGTCAAATTGGCTGCCGCTCCTATAGACAAAATGAAGGCTGAGGTCGACCAGGCAGAGTCCAACTTACGCAATCTCAACAGGGAAGGAATCAGACGTACAGGCTTCCATGAAAGGATGCCAGCACTCCTTAAAGAGGTAGAAATTGACCGGTCATTCTCCAGGAAACCTGTCGGCCCCATTGGAAGTTACGTGAGCTTGTTGAAACCCGAGTGGTCATCTATATTGGAGAACGCCCTTGGCACCACATTGAACAGCTTCATTGTGACCTCTAAGCGAGATATGAACATTCTTTCACACATTATGCAGAGAGTTGGCTGGTAAGCGATTCCGAAGCTCTGTGCCGGGTGTGTCTGTCTAAGCCACTATCTTCAGTGTGTGCCCTATATTCATAGGAAGTGATGGCCACATTGATACGTCAGAACATGAGCCAGAATCACAATATGATACAGCCCTGCGAATTCTTCAAGTGAGTTGACGAATTTCACCGTTGGTTCTTTTTCCTTATCCTGAGTTTCAGTTCTTCTCAATTGAACTGACTATCGCCTAACTCCGGGGTTTAGATCGAGAACGAATTGGTTCGTCGACAGTTGATCATAAATCACGGCATAGAGCAGATGCTCCTGATTGAAAGGCTTGAAGATGCCTCGTCTGTGCTCTTTGATGGGCAGCGCCCGAAAAATGTGAAGCGGTGCTACTGTATTGATCCAACAGATCGGCGCCGAGGAATTCATCTTTCCTACAGTCGAACAGGAGATCCCAGCCAGGCACCAGTCCAAGCCTACAATGGAAGTCCACGGATGAAATCCGATTTGGAATCGCAAATCAGGTGATTATTTAAATAATGTTTTAGAGACTTGCCACAAGCGCTAATATTCGATGTCCACAGAATTCAGCGTGATGTAGTAGCAGGCCTTAGACGTGAGCTAAGCAATCAGGAACAGCAATTGCGCTCCGCTCAGTCTCGCCTAGAAAGCTGTAAGCAAGCTATTGAGAGACATAAGCGAAGATCAAAAGAATTACAAGTTCTGTTGCAGAGGCAAGAGGATCAAGTGGAAGAGCTCACCGATGCGCTTGAACGAGAGACTGTCGAGGATGGACATCTGGATGTGCTACGAGCAACTCTTCAAGAGGCTGAGGCAGAGAAACGCCTAAACGAAGGGTCATTGAAGGACAGTGTGGATGCTATGGATGCCATGATGAGGAAATTGAAAGCGACCAAGCAAGAGCTTTCCGCAAAAGATGCCGAAATCTCGACCTTGCAGGAAGAGCTTCGAGTTGCTCAGGGAGAGGAACATTTGGTGCAAGAGAAGCGCCGGAAGATCATTGGCCGTAAAAATACAGCAATTGAGCGAGTCAATGACATCAAGCTCAACAGAACAAGGATTCAACAAGAAAAGGATTGTGTTGCCGCACGTGTCGTCGAATATGAGGAGAAGGCCAGTCTAGTTTCACCACGGGTTGCGATTGATGAAGGGGAAACCGCGAACACTCTATCGAAGAAGCTCGAGAGACTTCACGGGGATCTTCAACGGTCCAATCAACAGTCAGTATAAGACCAGAATTGTCTTGATTGTCCTACTGACGGAGTACTAGACTCGGAGGATCCCGTGATGAAATTGCTGCTGAAGTGGAAAGGGCTACTGCGGCCTATCAACGAGCGATGAAGCAAGTCGAGGAATTTAGACTGCTAGCTGACGTAGGGTGATCACATCCAAGGCGAACATATCTCTTGCTAACGGTTCGTCCAGGTTCTCAAAGCAACTCTGAGGCATCGTAAAGCTCGTTGGCTCATCTTCAGGTCACATATCTCGTCTCGTGCCAAAGCTCAATTTACATACCTCTTGAGCGAAAGAAGTTTTCGCGGTCGACTCCTTACTGACCATAATGCCAAGCTCCTCGATTTACAGGTAGGCGATGTTGAGTACCGTCGGCCATGGTCATTGGATCTGACGAGCTGCCTAGGTCGAACCTGACATAACAAAGGAGAGTGCTGGTCGTGGTGCGAAGACCCTGTCCGGTGGCGAGAAATCATTCTCGCAAGTTTGCCTCTTGTTGGCGCTCTGGGAGGCCATGGGATCCCCGGTCCGTTGCCTGGATGAATTGTAAGTCAGCACTCTGCTATTACAATTCTCATTGACTGATTGATATTTGATAGTGATGTATATATGGATCATATCAACAGAAAAATGGCGATTGATATGCTCGTAAGTTCTTCTTGCAAAGCAACTGTACTGAATTTGTTTAACGGTTCATGGCAGATGCTCGCTGCCCGGCGGTCCATTGGGCGACAATTCATACTTATTACACCGGGGTCAAGAGCTGAAATCACCTTGGCTCCCGATGTTCGAGTGAAAGAGTACGTCAACATACAGAAATAGTGTTGTGTTGTGACTAATGGATATGTGTAGATTGGCAGAGCCAGAACGTGGCCAGACAAGGCTTCCTTTTTAAGGAAGATCAAATTCCTGAGTTACAGATTCCTTCTTTGTTTGGAGGAATGTTCAGTGTTCTTAATTCTTGGTTTCATCATCCCTCTGAGCGCCGACTTAGATATACCCTCCTGAATAGAACTCGATTCGAGATAGAAAAATGTGCGGGAAAGTGAACTCGGAGAAAGCTAGGTCGATCATCCCTGATGATTGTAGCTCAAATGTACAAACTGCATGGCAAACAGACGGCTCCCTTGTGCTCCTGGGAAGCAATAAGCCATTTCCAGATTGTAGTCTAGTAGTGACTCGAGCAGTGAGTAGGCAGGTACTGACTAGTTACTTGACTGCTCAGTAGGTAGTGGGCCCTTCGAAGGCGGCAAGGGCCCTGCCCATCACCCACTGGTCAGTTGTCATCGCACCATCTCCATTATTATTCACTACCTGTATCTACCTCTCTACTCACACCAAAAGTTTTCCCTCCGCACCGCAATACGAATTATTCACCTTGCATTTCTGCTGTGACTTCTTCTTATATCTATCTGAAAACTGCCTGACTCAAGTCCTATTGTCTGTGGACTTCTAACCTCGATCTCCCACTAGTCAATCGACGTCCGTTCAACTGTCTTCTTCCACTTTCCATACTCTCAGTAATCTTCATTCATCTCGGAAGACCCTGAGCTTCCAAGCCTTGCTCCCATCATCGGTTCGCCTCCAAGTGGTCTCTTCGTCCGGAGGAGATTTGAACGAAATTCGGCTTATAACCTCGCTACCTTGAACCGTACTCACCTGGTATCGATTGAACAGGAACGCAGACGTGTTTTGCTCTGATACGAGCCTTACCTATAAACCTCTGGGAGCTACTGAAGATTCGAAACCACAACTTCGAGGATTTTCTATCCCGATTATTCAATTAATCATTCTTTCACACTCCGTTGCAACAACACGTGTCTTATTCCTGGAATAGCCTGGCCTACCGTTTCGGTCCAGACTTGGGAAAACTTGATATTCCTTTTTTTTTCCTACTTCTGGTTCATCATGGCAGACAGTCTCGCAAATCAGCTCAACAGCACAAGCTTAGGGTAGGTTCTCGTTACAAAGTGACGGCTGTCTTCAGTTCGAGATAATCCAACTCATACATCCTCTATAGGGAAGCGAACTCGGAAACGAGGTGGAAAGAACAATTGAATGTGCCTGCAAAAGACGCAAGACCGCAGACTGAGGTTGGCCGCTCTATAATCGTGTCGCTCTTACATGTGCATCATATCTGACCGAGTTGTAGGATGTGACCGCCACTAAAGGTCTTGAATTTGAAGACTTTTATATCAAACGAGAACTTATGATGGGCATATTTGAGGCTGGGTTTGAAAAACCTTCTCCAATCCAAGAAGAAACAATACCAGTCGCTCTTACAGGCCGCGATATTCTGGCTCGCGCAAAGAACGGCACCGGCAAGACAGCAGCTTTCGTGATCCCTACTCTGGAACGCATCAACCCTAAAAGCACAAAGACTCAAGCACTTATCCTTGTACCAACAAGAGAGCTTGCGCTCCAAACATCTCAAGTTTGCAAAACTCTTGGAAAGCATCTGGGGATCAACGTCATGGTCACTACCGGAGGGACGGGTTTGATGGATGATATCATCAGACTGAACGACGCCGTGCACATTCTCGTGGGGACTCCAGGAAGAGTATTGGACTTGGCCAGCAAGGGCGTTGCGGATCTTTCCGAGTGTCCCACGTTTGTCATGGATGAAGCTGACAAGTTGTTGTCGCCTGAATTTACGCCCGTCATTGAGCAGCTCTTATCATTTCACCCAAAAGACAGACAGGTGATGCTCTTCAGTGCCACCTTTCCGTTAATTGTCAAATCATTCAAGGTAAGGCGAGACTATTTTGTTCGTTTCGGGCCGTCCACTGATAAGTTTCATAAAGGACAAACACATGCGTAACCCTTATGAGATTAACCTTATGGATGAACTTACTCTCCGAGGAATCACCCAATACTACGCTTTTGTGGAGGAAAAACAGAAGGTCCACTGCCTGAACACCCTATTCTCAAAGCTTCAAATAAACCAGTCGATCATTTTCTGCAACTCCACCAACCGGGTTGAACTTCTTGCGAAGAAGATTACAGAGTTGGGCTACTCTTGCTTCTACTCGCACGCCCGAATGCTCCAGCAACACAGAAATCGAGTTTTCCACGACTTTCGCAATGGTGTGTGTCGCAACCTCGTCTGCTCCGATTTGCTCACTCGAGGTATCGATATTCAGGCTGTGAATGTTGTCATAAATTTCGACTTTCCGAAGAATGCTGAAACATATCTTCACCGCATCGGTCGATCTGGTCGTTTCGGACATTTGGGCCTTGCCATCAATCTCATAAATTGGGATGACCGCTTCAATTTGTACAAGATCGAGCAGGAACTGGGAACAGAAATACAGCCCATTCCCCAGAACATTGACAAGAAGCTCTATGTTTATGATTCTCCAGAGACAATTCCTCGTCCTATCTCCAACCCATCACAGCCACGTCAACTAACGAATACTCCGGCAAATACGAGCACTGCAGACCGCCGCCATCATAATCATCCAAATAGTGGGCAATACCAGTTCAATCGAGGCCGGGGTTCATACCGTGGTCGGGGGCAGGGTCAGCGCCGGAGCGCACAAACCGAAACCGGCAAGTTCGGTCACCCTCAGGGCCAACACAGTGGCAAGACTCCAACAGCACCGGTGTCATGAATTCGGTGTCGTTATCTCTCAATTGCTTGAAATAATGACCTGAATGTCTACAGTCGCTTCGCTTTCTTTTGCTTGCACACGACCAATGAGAGATCCTCCCGCAGTTTGGAGTCTCCTGTCCTTTTCCGATTCATTTGCTTGGCTTTGGCGATTTATTCATTCCCTCCGATTTACTGCGCGCACATCTTGCCGTTCTCTCCTCTTTTACCGTGCGAAGTGGTTTTCCTGATTGTCTCTACGGTCTGCACTACTTCATCGTAGTGTAGGTGACTTTTCTTTGGCCGCTACCTTCGCTGCACCATTTGATCTCGTTATTTGCTTGGATTCGGTGCCAGTTATGCCCGGTTTCTCGAGTCCTTTTTCTCAATTTGTACATACATTCCCATTGTTTCAAAGCAACGGGGTTGGCGTTCCTGGGTGTTCTTCGACCGGTGTTCACTCTTCGGCGTTCACGGGTGTCTTCCAGCAAGACACTGGTGCATTATCTACTTATCTTTGGCTTCGACCTGTCAAGTGAACCAGGACTACGGCGACATATTTCAGCTTCTGACGACATTTATCGGGCCAGTCGTGTTTCAACCCTCTCATGTCCGTCTTGGCTTCGGAGCTGCACTCCTGTGACATCCGCCTCCTACTTGACTACGTACATTTGAAGGAGTCCCGGAGTTTGTGACTGATTACTTTTCGGATTCCATCTTCTCATTTCCCACTCTCGCTAAATTTACCTATGTCCTGGGCTTATGCGGTGTGAATGAAAGCTAAGACATATGGGTCGGTGAGGGCTCCTACCCTGGCTCGGCATACCAAAACTTCCACGATCTTACGTCAAGGTTGAGTTGCGCATTTGTTTGTCTTTCGTTCTCGCCACATTGTTTGAAGGGCAACTTTCTACACAGCAACGCAGAAATTAAACACTGATAAGGAATCCGACAAGAAAGGATTGGGTCTGCGGGATCCATATGGTTACAAGGCTTGGTTCAGGAAGAGGATGATTGTACATCTCGAATGAGAGGATGTGGTCAAAGGGTGAAAGAAGAAAACGCACATACAGACACCCCCAACATGGAAAAAAATAAAAGGGAAAAAAAAGAAAATGTGGAAGGAAGGAATGGGGAAGAAAATTTCAGAAAAACACTGGCAGAGGAGTGCTCGATGATACCAACCCTTCTGGGTATATGATAGCCTTAACATTGGTAGCATCTGGTAAAATGTGAATGTTTCCCTCTGTCAGAGCTCTCAACCACTTCGCACGTATATTTGGTTGTATGGGGGACCTACTCATTGTAGATATAGGTTACTCGTAAATAATTTGCGGAGCACAAATTACCCCATACTGGAGAAGGCTGATTTTGCGTTTGGTGCATTTGTTGCATCCCGTATCCTAGATACCGGCTATCACTCCGGCAATAATAATTCTTGCATATGGGCGTCAACCACATTTCGCATTTGAAAATGGCTACTGCGGAAAAGGATCCGAAGTCCAAGGTCAGGAATGTCAAAATGATACCCGGTTTCGCGATCACTGACTTCATTATAGCCCAGCAGCCTGCGGTCTATCATAGCGGGCTCTACCGCAGGAGCCGTTGAGATTGGCAAGTTCACTGTCGCTGAAATCGCCAGTTATTTAAGATACCCCTGCTGACTCCATAGCAGCGATAACTTATCCAGCGGAGTGTCAGACTATCTCATCTTTTATACATGTCAAGCTAATCAAATTGTGCAGTCGCGAAGACACGATCGCAGCTCAATCGCAGGCTACCCGATGCGAAAAAGCTCCCATGGCCACCATTCGGAAAACAATGGTATGCCGGATGCACAACTTTGATCATTGGAAATTCTCTTAAGGCTGGCATCCGTAAGTTCCATCGAGTGGTGCTGCATTACCATTGTCCAAACTCTTTGATAGAGACTCACGCTAGAATATCCTTAAGGCTTCGTTGCCTTCGACACATTCAAGTCTCTACTTCAGGATGAACATGGCAAGATATCCGGACCAAGGACTGTGATTGCCGGCTTCGGAGCCGGTTTCACAGAGTCTCTATTAGCAGTGACTCCGTTCGAAAGCATCAAAACACAATTGTTCGTTGTCACCTTACTTGAGTAGCCCTCAGCTGTTCGGGCCACAAACCGTTTTCAGGGTGCGCTGTGCAACTGACATACGGGAAACAGAATCGATGATAGAAAATCCCCAAATCCTCGCATGCGTGGATTCCTGCACGGTAGTAAGATCATCTTTCAGGAAAGAGGCATTCGGGGCTTTTTTCAAGGCTTCGTTCCTACAACAGCGAGACAGGCTGCCAACTCGGCAACTAGATTCTCAAGCTACACAATGTTGAAACAGTTGGCTCAGGGCTATGTCGCACCCGGCGAGAAGCTAGGAACTGCCAGTACATTCGCTCTTGGTGGGATAGCGGGCCTCATTACAGTGTACGCCAGCCTTCGTACCCGGGGCACAGCCTTGTGAACTATGTCCATCACTAGTCGATATGCTAATATTATTCCTACGCAGCTATGTTACGCAGCCTCTTGACACTGTCAAAACCAGGTGAGCCTTAAGAACCTGAACGTTGTGCCTATAGATGGGTATTAACTACTCAGCAGAATGCAATCGCTCGAAGCCAGTAAAAATTACAAAAACAGCTTCGTTTGCGCCGCGCGGATTTTCAAAGATGAAGGCGTGCTTACTTTCTGGTCAGGGGCTGTACCCCGTCTAGCAAGGTTGATCATGAGTGGAGGAATAGTATTCACGATGTTCGTTGGGAATAAGTCATCTTCGTCCATTCTTTCGGGTGCTAATTCATCACAACCAGGTATGAGAAGACAATGGAGACTCTCGACTCCATCGATCCTGAGAGAAAATACATATAACGCCGGAACAACATATGAAAAGGTAGTTGATGCTTTTTAGTTGTATATATGTCGAAGGCGGAGTTATCGGGTCCGAGGTTGGCAGGCTGACGTGAACTGTGTTTCACTGCCCCGATGGCCAATACCTACCAGTTAGTTGAGGATGATCGTTCAGGCTAAATATCATTTTTGGCGCTAATGTGGATGACAACTTTACTCCCCGACGGCATTTATCGAATCTTCTGCAGATATGGCTGCTATCTCCCGATCAGCCATCCAGGTTCTGACACTATCCATTACAGTCTCAAGACTTTCGCCGCCATCAAGGACATTGTCCAGATTATGCACTGTAATGCCGCTACGGTGGTCAGTGCAACGACTCTGTCCATAATTGTATGTGCGGATTTTGTCACCACGACCCATCCGAGCGACGCCTCCAAGAACACCTCTTCTTAACTCAACAAGTTCCTGCTCACGAGCTTCTTGTCTAGCCTCAGCCAATTTTGCTCGTAGCACTTGCCATGCCTTTTTCCGGTTCGCGTGTTGAGACCGGGAATCCTGCATTGAAACGACAATTCCAGTGGGTATATGAGTCAACCGGATAGCTGACTCGGTTTTGTTTACATGCTGACCTCCGGCTCCGCTCGCGCGCATCTTCTCAGTGCGGACTTCTTGGGGATCAACATAGTAGTCACTGTTCGGGTCGTCAAAATTTAGAGCACTGTCCATACCGACCCCGGCCTCTGGGAAGCTAGGAAGAACCATCACGCTGACAGCACTTGTATGGGTACGTCCCTTGGTCTCCGTGGCCGGCACTCTCTGCACCCTATGGACCCCAGACTCAGTCCTTAGAAGATCATAAGCTCCGTCTGCGTCAATCTCTACAACTGCTTCGCTCAGGCGATCATCCGAAGGCCCGTCTTGCACGTCGAGCTTGATCACATTGGACCGTAGGCCACGCCGAGTACAAAATGCAGTGTACATCCTCAAAAGCTCAAAAGCAAAAAGGCCGGCTTCGTCTCCACCTGCGCCGGGGCGAATTTCGAGTAGGCAGGGAAGATCTGCAAAGGGGTGGCGAGGAACAAGTGACTTTTTCAGTGTCTCTGATATGGCTGGCAAAGCACGGTCGCTGCTTTTTAAGTCTTCGATAGCAAGAGATCTTAGCTCGTCGTCGGTGTCTGGATCGTCAATCAAGGATCTGAGTTCCGAGAGGGACTGAGACCAGAACAATTATTGTTAGTCAAGATTCACGGGGAAAAAACAAATCTTTAATTCTCGACTTACCTCGTGCGCGCGATCCCATTCCCGCAAGGCTTTCGCGATTGATGCCAGTTCGCCCACTCGCTTCGCAATCTTTGCGTCAAATGAATCCGTAAAATGGGTGGAAAGCCTGGTATGCTCAGCCGCCAAGGAGCGAGCCCGGTTTAGTAACGCCGGCGAGAGATGAGCACCTGATGGAAAGATTAGCCCATAGGTATGCGAAAGACCCTTCGCTTTACGTAGCAGTCAAAGTATCCCTACTCGTGTTCAAGTTCCGCGGTTGCGAGATGGCCTTATGGCTCAATGTGGCTCGAGCAGATCGTGCAAGACATCGAGAGCATATCCATGAGAAGCTAAGCATTATGATATGTGGAATATGAGACAAAAAGAAGATATGGAAGAAAGAGCCCAATCCCAATGCTTTGCGCGCGTTCTCTGAAATGCGGGCTATGTGCTGGAACTATGCCTGATTAAAATGGGCTCAATCAAACACCTGCTTGTGGAGACAGGTGGTAAGTGCCGTGTCAATCACACTGCCGCTGAGCTGCAACCTATACACATTTATTAAGTAGGCAACTCCCGCCTTCAAATTTGTGGATTTCTAGGTGTATTTAGGACTTGATATACGTCCTCCTGGCTTTGTCACGTGAATATATTACGAATTCAATACGGTATGCTGTATTGGCTGTGTAAAGGCCAGACTGGAGGTTAAGCATAGTCTGCATGAGATAGAATATCTACGAAACTTGGTCAAATTGTATAAAGAATGCCTCGCTATGTAAATCACCTAGCGACCTCTTTCAAGGTCTTGTTGCGTGTTGCCTTCCTTCAGATTTCCCACAGTCCAAGCCCTCTACCTGACCTATCCTCACAGCTCACACCTTGAAGCAGGTTAAGTGCTTCTGAGGAGTGAATTTTATTATGCCCTGTTTGCCTGAGGCTTGTGTGATACCATAGGTCTCAACAATATCTTATGGGCTGAACTCCCAATATGCTCATTACTTTGGAGTCCTTCACAGTTTTCTTGGCCTGTTTTTCGGTTGGTCATGGCCTCCAGTCTCCGGAGATACCCCCGGATACTCCTTTGTCGTCTCTGGTAGCTTCGGCAAAAGCCCATCTTGCCAGTGGTTCTGCACGCGATGCTCTGCTCTACTTCGATGCGGCCGTCTCACGAGATCCAAGCAATTATCTCACAATCTTTCAGCGAGGTGCTGCTTATTTGTCTCTTGGACGAACTACGCAGGCGTTAGACGATTTTGAACGTGTCCTCCAGCTCAAACCAGACTTTGAAAGCGCGTTCCTCCAACGAGCTCGCCTCAGGGCCAAGACTGCTGACTGGGACGGTGCGCTGAGTGACTTCGAAAGAGCTGGTAAGAGGCTTTCGGAAGAGTATAGAGAAACCCAAGAGGCACGCGATGCCTCCCTGCAAGCACTCGACGCGGAGAAACGGGGTGCGTGGGACGATTGTGTAGGCCAAGCCAGTACAGCCATCCTCAAGGCGAGCACATCTCTGAGTCTACGGCAAACTCGGGCACATTGTCGCTTCGAAAAGGGTGAAGTGGAAGAAGGGATCAGCGACCTTGTTCATGTCCTGCAAATCTCTCCGGGCTTGATCGAGCCTCATTTGCAAATATCGTCGATGTCATTCTATGCTCTTGGCGACAGTGAACGAGGTATCTCGCAAATCCGCAAATGTCTGCATTCGGACCCGGATTCGAAAGCATGTTCTCGGCTTCACAAAAAAGAAAGGCAGCTAATGAAGAGGCTGGAGAAATTGCAAAATGCGATGGATTCACGAAAATTCAACAACGCTATCAACCTACTTGTAGGTGTAGGGGGTGATAAGGGTTTAATTGATGAGGTTAAGGACGACTTCGAGAGTGCGAAAGAGGCTGGCCACATCCATCCTGCAGCCCCGAGCAATTTACACACATCTCTAGTTGAACGGACGTGCGAAGCCTACCGTGAGGTTAGTGATTCCAGGAGATGATGCTATCTATTTGCCGCAGCTGACTGGAGGTGCTTGATTTCAGGTTGGTATGCTCAAACGGGCTGCTCCTTACTGCACCGAAATTTTCCGACTGAAACCACTTTCATTGGCTGCCCTTCTATTCAATGGTCAGGTGGCTCTTGACGAGGAGCGTTTCGAGGACGCTATTCGCACTCTCAACGAAGCCAGGGAACATCACCCGGGATCTCAGGAAGTTCAGACGCTTTTGCAGAAAGCACATGTGTTATTGAAACGCTCCAAGCATAAGGACTACTACAAAGTCCTGGGTGTTAGTCGTGATTCGGATGAGCGGACAATCAAAAGGGCTTATCGGCAGTTGACAAAGCAGCATCACCCTGACAAAGCCGTCTCCCAGGGCGTCTCAAAGGAGGAAGCGGAGAAGAAGATGGCCGCTATAAACGAGGCCTACGAAGTTTTGTCGGACCCCGAACTCAGAGCACGGTATGATAATGGCGACGACCCCAACGACCCCGAGTCACAGAGGGGGAATCCCTTCCAGGGAAACCCCTTTGGTGCCGCCGGCGGCCAGCAATTCTATTTCCAACAAGGCGCGCCGCATTTCAAGTTCTCGGGTCAAGGATTCAACTTTCCCCGAGGCTTTCCTTTCCGTTAGCATACTTCGTGTAAAACGGACCCTGCAGCTCACCCTGCAGTCTACCTCATTTCCCACATTCCTGCACTCCTGCGGTGCCCGAAATGCACGCTACCACTCCCCCGCCTATTGAGCTATGATCAATCCCGGCCTGCCCCACCCTCCATTAAAACAGCGAAGTGTACGTACTCAGTCAGATATGAAGAAGTGTGATACGATCTGCATTCTGTCCGCTCTCTCCGCCTCTTCCCCCTCCTATTCATTCTTTTTCTCTCCCTTTCATGACAGGAGTTTTAGATTACCACTAGCTAGATGAATGAATGCATCAAGGGAGGTGTGAGGCTTATCGCTTCGGTGCATCCGTCAATGGCACATAGCTAACCTGGAAAATCTTTTCCTTGTGAACAGAGCCATCCTCTTTCTTATCAACAACCCATATATACTGTCCACCACCGAGTCCAATGCTACTTATGGAGCTACCGTCATTTTCCACATCAACGGGTATGAACAAGCGTCCTGGGGCATGTAACTGCTCAATGAGCACGGGATGTAGCTTGTCTGCCGCTGCGCCCACGTGGATTGCGTCGTAAGGAGCCCCTTCCCTCCAGCCCAGCCGACCATCGGCGGTAATGAATTTCACTTTTCCGGATTCTAGGAGAGTGCGGCCCTGCTCTGACTTGCTCATGTTCGCCCTGGCCAGGTCAACGAGTTCCGGGATATGATCCACTCCGATAACCTGACCACTGGCACCACTGGTAGACGTGTCTATAACAAGATTGGCGAGGACATGTGTCAAATACCCGGATCCCGAGCCGATATCCAACACCCGGGATCCCGGCTTGAGGAAGTCAACCAAGTATTCGCAAGCATGGCCATGCATATGTGGTGCCGAAATCGTCGCTCCATGCCCGATAGGTTGCGGCGAGTCGGAGTATGGCCTCGATGGCGCGTAATGGGCGCGATCAACCTTGGAATTTCAGTGTCAGAATCTTCTGCTGTCAGGCAGTGAAAGGTGTTATTCTTGGGCTACTGGAGGATGCTGGGTAGTGGCAGCGGTAGAAGCAAAGTGATGCTCACGCCCATCATGGCTTTTTTCACCCGATCATTTTTAATCAGTCCTTCCTTGGAGAGATTCTCGATCAACTCAGTATTTGTGGAGCCGGAACAGTACCAAGCCATTGATAACTGCTTTTTTGTGAGTTTGCTCAGCAGTGTGGTTATCTCTATGTGCCTTTTCAGCATTCAGAAATCGCCTGTCGGATTGAAAAAATATCCCAGTCAGACAGCACGTAGGATGTTAAACTGATAGGTAGGATAGGCGCCTCCGAAGTAGTCATCTGCTGCGGGAGATTCCCATTATGTCAGTATTACGGAGTACCTTGTGCGGATTCCATCGGAGCACCATTGTATAAGTCGTAATACAGCAATCTCACTAATGCGTCATATCATATGATGATCGTAAGTACAGTTGCACTCTGGGCTGTTTTTATTTTGCCTATTGCCTCTGTGGCTTACTGGCCTTTCTGGCCTATGTGGTTACCTTTCTGGAGCAGGTATATATATTGACAGGCTGGTTGCTGTTGTTTCGGGATTTTATACCAACAGACTATCGGCTCTCCATATCAATCAAGTGATATATGCTTCTATGCACTCCGTAAATTGAGATGTAGTCTCACTCGGTAGTCCACATATATCCATTCATATACTCTGTATGGGGTACGTGATGGAGTAATTACATATATATGTTAAAAGGGTTAATAATACTGTACCGGACAAGCAGCAGTTGGATATTAATGATTTATACCATTCTTTTACATAGTAAATACCATTCTAACAGCTCATATATGACAAAGATTCCTAACACCAGAAATAGCCACACATGTTCTGTTCACGAAGTGAATACGGGCTCAAATGTTCAAATCTCTCAAGTCGTGATTACGGAGTACATGGATGCCGTTACACATAACTTTGGTTCCACATCCATTGAACGCCGCCGTCTCAACAACCAAGCCCAGAGCAAGAGAATGGTCAAAGTGAAATCAACTCACCAAGTCAGATAGGGCCACATGGAAGACCACAAGGTAGATCCAGACATCCAGATCGAGGTCGATACAATTATACTTGATTATCTGCTGTGCACCGCCATCAACACGTTCCTTTGCACACAAGAAAGAGAAAAGCGATGGCATCGCAAGGACCAGAATACCAATTGGTTGATCCAAACAGTCAATAGTATGTTGGAATACAAGCACCTTCGTAAGCACCAAAGATTGCGCTGACCATGGACACCGTCTCATCATGCTCACACTAGCCCTGACACCGATGCTGATACATGCCGAGACACTTTCCCAGGACATGCGCATCAAGCTTCAGCTTCTCGAATTCATCACTACATGCAATCAGATTCAATGCCATAACGTATCAGCAGACAATCAATCATTACGGCGTGGATTCGGGGAGCAGAAGGAAGGATTCGCGGTCACAACTGAACGTCAAGTCTTCCCACCACACTTGAAACCCGAGGTCCAGAGACCTCACATTTATACGAACAACAACCGTACCCAACCAAGACTGGACATCCCTCCTGCCATGGTTTATGCATTCATCTCTCTGTGCATCGTCGCAAATGACCATGTGTCAGACACTAACTGGGCCGATATTGCAGCCCAGCTCATGCTCAAGGCCGCGTCCGAGAAACATGAATCTTATGGGATCACAACGTCCGACACGTTTCATGAATTAATAGATCAAGTACCAGAGACTGTAAGAAAAACGCCTGAATGGCAACAAGTGGCTGATAAGTACGAAACGTACCTACAGCCACCGCTCGGGGTCCTCCCGTCCAGGCACCTGGAAACCACATTGAAACATCTGCATACACATCAACTCGGAACCATCATTATCGAGTTCCTGCTCGATCTCATGAGACGCTTGAACCCCCCCCTTCTGTTACAGCTTGAGAGAGGGAAACTATATGGACTGAGCCGAGCGGAAACACAGAGGCTGAAAGCTAAGGTCGGACTGCGATGATAATACTTCTGTCATAAAGACTACAATCAACATGGCACGTTTCTCACTTCGAGCGCATGAACTGCTATTCATAAATTATACTGATAGCCAAACAAGGGGCATCGGGAGCAATCTGAACGAAGTGTATTGTGAATGCCGTATTTTACAAACAGAGGAGCAGTAGGTGCCCTTAGACGAGCATAAAGGTCACTAGCCGAGCAACATCCGACGAGGATCTTCAATGTATTCCTTGACCTGAGGAAATCATAATCAGCCGAACGTGTCAAATAACCAAGAAAATGAACGAACCTTGACAAGGAAAGTGACCGCCTCTCGTCCATCCAAAAGTCGATGATCATAGGTCAGGGCAAGATACATCATCTGGAAATGTTAACGTCTGATATCAAGTCGAGGCTGGCAATGACATACTGGACGAATTTCCACTTTACCGTTCACAACTGCTGGCCGGTCCTTGATAGCATGGAGTCCAAGAACAGCTTCGAAAAGTCAGAAATTCATTCCGAAAAGAACCAGGGTGAGAGCACAGACCTGTCTGGGGCAAGTTGATGATTGGAGTGCCCATCAAAGAGCCGAAAACACCACCCTAGAAAAATGTCAATGCTTTTATCACCTCAATAATCATGCTGCTTACGTTGCTAATAGTGAAAGTGCCACCAGCCATATCCTCGATCGTCAACTTGTTGTCCCGTGCCTAAAAAAAAGATCAGTCTCGCACGATGCAAGCCTGTCGCATGATACTACTGACCTTCTTGCCAAGGTCTGCAATGGACTTTTCAATTCCGACGAGATCCATGGTTTCAACGTTACGGACAACAGGTGTCACAAGGCCCTTCTCAGTAGCAACGGCCACACTGATGTCAACGTAGTCGCGGTAAACAATGGTATCACCACCATTGGGGCCTTCGATTGATGCGTTAACGGCGGGGACGTCTTTCATAGCTAGGACACAGGCACGAGAAAAAGCGCTCATGAAGCCAAGCTTGACACCAGTTTTCTTCAATACATCATCCTTGTAGAGTTTTCGAAATTCCATGAGGGATGACATGTCAACTTCGTTGAAGGTAGTCAGTGAGGCAGCGGTGTTCTGGGACTGCTTCAGGCGCTCGGCTATTCTCAACCTCATTCTATTCATTTTCACCTATTACCCAAAAAAAGTAACAAAAGAGCCGCGAGTTAGCGAGTGTCAGAGAGACAAAACAGATGTTAAAGGGAACTTTGGACGCACCCTGCGTTCCTCACGACCTCCGAAGCTCGATTTAACGTCGGAAGGAGTTTCTGGCTTAGGAGCAGGAGGCTGTGGCTTGGAAGTAGGGGGCAATTCAGGCGGAGGCGATGGAGCTTTGGGGGGCTCTGAAGCTTGTGGCTTGTTGGACTCAGCAGGGGGGCGCTTCTCGACATCTGCGGGCTCCTTCGGCTTCTCAGCAGCTGTCTCCTCTTTTGGCCCAGGAGCGCCACCTAGTTCGAGTTTGACCAAGTCCTGCCCAACCGTTACAGTGTCCTCTTCGTTCACGAGGAGCTCCTTAATAGTTCCAGACTCAGGCGCATTGACTGATACGTCGATCTGCAATGGGTTGGCAAAACTTTCAAGTAATGAGGACAGTATGTGACATTCGCTGCAACCCTACCTTGTCGGTCTCGATTGTAGCGATTTCTTCGTCCCGCTCGACGTAATCGCCCACCTCTGCCGAACGGTAAGTGAAAGATTAGCAAAAGGGTCGATATTCTTACGCTTCGAAAATTGCTTCAATGTACCCTCGGTGATAGATTCTGCCATCTGAGGGACCTTTACAATGGTATCAGCTGCAGCGAGATCAGCGAAGAACGCCATTAGAAAGTAAAGCAAAGCGCGATACCGTAAGTTCTGATCTGATAGCCTCCGAGGCGGGCGAGACTGCTCCGGGGTACATTGGCTCTATGGAAAGTCCACGGTCAGCCAGAGCAAGTAAATGAACGTGAACCTCCGATGTCCTTACCCTGGGGACGAAACATGCAGCAAAACCGCGCCAGCCTTATGCCTTCTAAGCGCAAAAGAGGTAATACTCCTGCGAGCACCAATGCAAGGCAAGCGGGAGCATTGAGCTGTTCGAGGAATAGACCTCAGGTGTAGCTCGGATAGACGGTGAAATGGTAACCTAGACGCCATATTTCACCCGATTCGGTTGGGTGGTAAATAAGAATTCACCAGCAGGAGAATATGACGCGATTGTCTGGTCTGAGTAGAGAGGAAACCTTTGGCCCCAAAATAACCTACTGAAAACCTGTTCAATACGTCTTCACTCGACGTTGTAGTGCGGAAGTACAGAATAGCAAACTGACGGAACTTAAGTTAGCGTATGACCAGCGACGAAAGCTCAACCCCGGGCCGAAAGAACCGGAATTTCCCTCAACAGCACACGGACATCATCTGTATTCCATGCGCCCGGCAGATGACGGAGTATTATTATTACGCTTGTTCGGGCTTTCCGTAAAGACCAACGTGGCAGATTCAGCGCACCCTATCAAATTCACTAGAGACGCAGCTCAAGCCTGTATTAAGTGGTCAGGATTTCGAACAATCACTGGAAATTCCCAAATTCTTCCTTCAGCTAGCGTCTCTGTGCAGTCGGCGTCTCATATCCTCGTGTCTTCTTCCCCTACAACTTTGACAGATAGCAATCATGTCTGCCAACGCCGTTGCGTAAGTTGCTCTCAGAAGGAAGAATAAGCTGCTTTGCTAATCTCAATTCGCTTTCCAGGTCACTCTACCGACGGAGTCTCAAGCTTGCCCTTGACTGGGCAGTTCACAGACACGTATGGCGAGGACAAGCTGTGTATATTCGGTCACTCTTTGAGGCAAATAAGGACATCCGTGATCCTCGTCAACAAAGAGTAAACTCCCTCTGGCCCCAGCAATTCTTTGGCCGTTGAACAAGCCCAAGTCATCAACTTATACAAACAAATCTGGCAGGTGCTACTCCGCGAAACTGAGAAATTACTGGAAACCTGGAAACACCCGGATCCGTATCGCGCACCTACTGCCCCAGGTGGTAAGTCTGCTAAGTTAGAAAAAGGGCTGCATCTTGCGCAATTGACTGATAATGTCTTCTAGGCAGTAAATACGAGAGAAACCTTCCTGCTCGGCAGTTACCTTGTACGTTGCGTCATTTGACCTGTCGATTTTGCCTCGTCTGACATACGTCTTAGATGCTTCTCAACATGCGGATGCCCACTAAGCTGGGACGGCGTACCGGATCCATATATTTGCCTCAATTAGTCGAAGTTACAGAACAATGGGTTCCGTACTCGATAGACATGACCTTTCAGTAACATACCTCGGGACTTGTACCCTGGACGTTGCTTTAACAATTATGTTCCTGAAAGCCCAGAGACGCTTAAGTGACGTATTGTAAAAACTAAGCTGCAGGCCTTAAGTTTACTTCGCATCAGATATACTGAGATTTTCCTAGTCTCCGAGAGCCAAATTCCATTAAGAAAGCTGTCGGTATCATTCAATGCCCGTAAGCATAATGTACAACCATAAATCAAAGCATAAAAAACAGAGCCATAATTGTGCCCAGTCCAGAACCCCGTTATCACATCATGAGAAACCAAAGCACGCCGTTTGAGAAAAACCCGAACAAGAAAGAAAGAAAAATAGGACAATTAAAGCTCCTGGCTAGGACCCTTTCCACTCTTGGGAGTCTTCTTGGGTAGAAGGTCTGAAATTTGGTTAGAAAATACCACCAAGGCGAAACCCAAGGGCAAAACTTACTTTGGTGGATGTTGGGCAAGACACCACCCTGCGCAATTGTGACATGTCCAAGCAGCTTGTTCAATTCCTCATCATTGCGAATGGCAAGCTGGAGATGGCGAGGAATGATACGAGTCTTCTTGTTGTCACGGGCAGCGTTGCCAGCCAACTCCAGAATTTCAGCGGCGAGATACTCAAGAACAGCGGCCAAGTAAACCGGAGCGCCTATATACAAAAGATACTATGGTCAGGACCGAGGGCGCCCAAAGGCAAAGACAATGAGCTAAATCGGGAAAAGCCTTACCAGCACCAACACGTTGAGCGTAGTTGCCCTTGCGCAGCAGACGGTGAACACGACCAACGGGAAAGGCAAGACCGGCCTTCGAAGAGCGCCTAAAGTCGAGATGTCAGCACGGCTCGGGATGTTGATGGGAAATGGGGTGGGTGGTCTTACGACTGCGCGTTCTTGCTGCCGCTGGCTTTGCCTCCGGATTTGCCTCCAGTCATTTTGTCTGATCAAGTGGTCAAGGTCTAAAACCGTTGTAATGGTTGTGGTGGAGTGGATGGTTTTTTGAGAAAGCGACGCGGTTGACGTGTAGTAAGTGGATAGTCGTTGAGGTAAACCAGAAGAATGGATGGTCAGCGCGAGGAAGTCCAGGAGATTTATAATGACGCGCTCAGGGTGACGTTGGCCTGCCCAAACACCGTTCAGATCACCTCTCGCTTAGCGGGGCTGACCAATCACCAAAAAGATCATGGTTCAGCGCTCCAATAGCTTGGCTACATATGTGAGCTATGATCTGTGTGGCCTAGCATAGTGTTTGTGTTCCAAATCAAGTTAAGTGCTGTAATATTTTAGTGTAATAATTATTACAGCCGTCTTGGCATAGCTCCGCCCTAGTGTCCATAGTAGTTCAACATATTTACCTTGCTTTAATCATACAGATCATACCAAGCTGTGACTGTATTGAAATTCTGTCTCTTTCGCGCACTTCAGATCAACTGGGTTTCAGAGGCTGGTATAAGTAGCGCGCCTCCCTCGTCACCGCGTCTCCATTATTCTCATCTTCCTTCTCAATCCATCTGCACAACATTCGGACCTCCAGTTCTCTCAACGCAACCACAATCTGTTCTCTCTAATTCTACTTGCTCGATAACTTTTTTTTTCGATAATCTTCTATTCACAAAAATGCCTCCCAAAGCTGCCGAGAAGAAGCCTAGCACTGGTGGCAAGGCGCCCGCTGGAAAGGCTCCTGCTGAGAAGAAGGAAGCGGGCAAGAAGACCGCTGCTGCTGCCTCTGGCGACAAGAAGAAGCGTGGCAAGACCAGGAAGGAAACCTACTCCTCTTACATCTACAAGGGTAAGTAATATTACTAGTTATATGTGGTGCGGAGGCTTATCACGTTGCAGTTCTCAAGCAAGTTCATCCCGACACTGGTATTTCGACTCGTGCCATGTCTATTCTGAACTCTTTTGTCAACGGTATTTCCCACTCCTGGAAACCTTTTTGATGCCGAGTGTATTCTGATCCATTCCAGATATCTTTGAGCGCGTCGCTACAGAGGCTTCGAAACTCGCTGCTTACAACAAGAAATCGACCATCTCGTCGAGGGAGATCCAGACTTCGTGAGTGATGCCCCTATCTACTATATGAATTGCACTAATTGTTTTCAAGTGTTCGGCTCATCCTCCCTGGTGAGTTGGCGAAGCACGCCGTTTCGGAAGGCACTAAGGCTGTCACGAAGTACTCTTCTTCTGCCAAATAGGCATTTCGCTTGTTTCTTTTCCCTTGTGTTTGTTTCTCGGGATTGTCATTTTTACTGCCTCCTTATCTTCATGGTTTTGAGGCGGTGGGTTACAGGGTGTTTGAGGATCTTTTAATGTGTCATGGGATGGTTTGATTTTGCTTTTTTTCTTTATTTTTTGCCCTGATGCCCTTGGGTTAAATGTGTTCATGGTTCATTCGGGACGAGAATGCGGTGTAACATAACTCGGATTTTAGGGGCTGGTTGCACGATTTTCCTTCCCCCGCCATAAATCGGAATCTCACTTGCTTTATGCAACATATTCTCCTGGACAGTCATTCGCTTCGAATTGATAGAATTGGGAATAAATAGAAACATTCTCGATCGGTTCGGGTTTCATACTTGCCATATCGCGGACCATTCGCTGTGTTCTTTCACTCATCATCCAAAACCTCTACCTCATCGATCGCCCCTTCACGGCCCTGGAAGACAGTAGTGTCTGACTCGCTAAGCACATGTACGATAGGTTTCCCCTGAGCAGATACCCCGCTCTTCCAGTGTGCCCAGTCTTCTTTATCTTTGATAATGAAGCCGATAAGCATGCTTGGATCCATGTCTCGAATGTGTATTCTCCTGAGGCGTCGAGTATGATAAGTTTCGATTTCTTCATCTGCGTAAGGTTCATCGATACTGTGATGTGGCAACGCTGGGCGGGTCTGATGAGGGTCAAGGTAAAATAGGTGTGACCCTTGAACACCGACGAAGTAATGCGATGCTGACGGGCGTCCACTGCTAAATTGGTCACTTCTGGTCCGGCAGTCCTTCGATCTGTTCAGTGAAAACGTACCCTGCAATTCCCACGGATTGGGGGAGTTGCAATGTGGTCTTTAACGCGTCCCAATACACGGGAGTAATACGATCGATTCCCAGTCGCGTCCCAATTAATATCAGCGTGGGCCTGAAAGACCCTCTTTCGTCGTGGGCAGCATCCAGGAATTTATCTTCGTGTACATCCGCTGTATCATCGGTCATGTAAACACCAAGATCGAGGCTTCCATGTTGAGACACAAGGGCCCTAGACTCATATGTGAGCTACGTTGATGGTCCGATGTAATTGAGACATACTGTATGCATCTGGCGGTTGCGGAGGGCCCGAACCATTCCCCGGGATATTTGTTACAGAACTCGGCACCATGCTGGACAAACCGATGTATTGAGAACGGTGCATCCGGGTGATCTGCGAACTGTGACAAGAGCCGAGCCTCCCCTTCAGTGTTGATTCCCCGACGCCAACCTATGGGCAAGTTAGCTCACTGCGGCTTGAAATACTGGAGCTATTGGTGAAAGGTTTGACGTTGGTTGATACCTCGGCCGAGTAGCAATATCGACATCGCGTTCGCCAGAAGACTTTGCCCTGACCTTATCATGCAACCCCATCCTGTGTCAGATGTGAATCCTTGTTGGTCCACAAGCTGGCTTCTCAGTCGCACGCTCAATGTCATTGCGGAGTACGCATCCTGTTTGATAGGCTTCGGTATTAGGGGAAAGTTGGATCTGTAGGTAATCCAGATCCTTGATTCGAAGTCGAGAAGAAACGATTCAGGCCAGCCCTGTTCGTCTAATTGGCCCGGCATTGTAGCCTTTGGGTTTAGCTGGTTTGGTCCTTCTTCGTTTGCCAGTCGCATTGATTTGGGCGATGCTATGGACGCATGAGCCTGAAGAGAAACAACTACTTTTGTATCTGGCGAGGCTTACCGGTGCGCCTATTGTCTCTCTCAGTACCATCTGTTACATATTTTGTTCCCAGGCACCATATGGGGTTTCCTGGTTGGTCATTCCTGGGTGCAGGGTCCCAGATATATTGTATAATTCGCTTGCAACGTTCCATGTCTACTCCGTTCATTTTGAATGGCGTTTTGACAAGGCTTGTATGGCGGTCTCTGCGAAGTGCTGAGGGGCGCTCTGACTGAATACTTTGCTTTTGAATGTTGGTATTTGTCTCACGTCGATGTTGATCTGCTGCCTATGCACATTGGTATATGAAGGTTCACCCTAGTGACCTATTAGTATCAAAAAAGGTGTAGCTGTGTAGGGGACAGACATACAGCTGTGTTTAGTCAACTGTTATTGATATGGTGATTTATGGTCAGTACGGAGTAGTGGCTACCTGTTTCTAGGTCCCCAATGATTGTTGTGCCTTAATGAGGGGTTCCGTCATACTGTAGCAGTCACGAGAACGGCTGTATACGTGCACATATATATAATCTCTCTCTCGACTGCCGTAGTGGGAGTGGCATATTACATCCTACAGCGCATGGCCAGCTACTTGACCACACAATCCAGAAAATATTCATAGCTTATGGCGATTACATAGGTAGTGATCAGTAAAGTCATACAAGCCTCGAAAAGAACCCAATGACATACTCCCGTCATAGGAGGCTGTCACCACGTAGATAAGGATACAAGGGTAAATACGTCACATGCTTACGAGACTCCATACACCGCCTTCAATGTCAAATCTTGGCACCACCAAGTTCCATCTTTTAAGAGAACCCAGCAGGCAGAGATTTTTTAACATATAAAAACCTGTGTGGAATACATTCGGAAAAGCCACAATGTCAGCGCGCTACTCAGTGTAAAGGAGAGCTTTGATATTGAGCCGAAGAGAGCACGCTCAGAGAATCGATTATACCACCGTAATAGCACCGAAGGGAAAAGGGTGGAAGACATGGCTCGCCACAGCAAGGCGAAAGTACGCAGGAACAACCAGAAGGCCGCGACAAAAATGTCCCACACAGGTCCATCACCTCGCATATAATTAACTGACCATAACCGACTGACTGGTTGCAGCTCACAGACAACACCAGCTCACCATGCAGCAAGAAGCACGAAACACAGAGGGGCGCAATATATGGCGGACGGGTACTAATTTTCGTCACCAGGCAGTGCAGTTTGTGAGTGCAGGACTACAACAAAATGAAGAGAAACAACTGGATTCTTTGGACAACATGCAACACGAGGAAATAGCAATGACACCACTTGAATTGCCCCCAGAACAAGCATGCAACGAAGAGTCCATGGGATATCCGCACCCTGCTATTATTGCCCCGGATGGGGAGATTCCCACATATACCGAGCATACAGACCACATCACCTCCGCAGGGGACAACACCAGCGAGGACGAAATAGTGTTTACTGGCCGGCACCATAAAACAGAGTACGCTCGAGGACCACCAGACAGAATCCGATCTCCGATATCAAGGCCACCCAGGCAACACAACGCTAGGAGCCCTGCTCGTCAAGAAGAGCATGAAAACTCCGACTGTCGCCGAGGACACGAAAGTAGCACCCAGCATAATTGCTTAAGGCAGCCATGGCGATCACATCACAGCCACGAAATACCGATCCAATCATGTCCCACGACAGGAAACACGACGGCGGACCAACTGCATACCACGAAATTGTCACTGACAGCGCGAATCGAACGAATACAGCCGCGCGCCATTAGTGAGAGTGTTGATTTCATACCCTTCAATTCCAGGCGCCCATCAACCAGGAAGAACTATACGAAACTTCTCGAAGACGAAGAAAATGACATATTGGCCGATTACATCGCGAATATTGACGATGACTACGAAGAATCTTATCAGTGGACTGATTTGTATCGCAGTACAAGTACCGAGTCCGGCAACGGTCAAATTACCAGGCTGGCGTCTGCGCTTGTCTCCGCTGAACCAATCAATGGCAACTATTCCGAGTCAGCAAACAACGAGGAGGAAATAATCCTACGTGAACGCGGTCAAATGTTGGCTGAATGCGAAGTTGAGAAGGATCACGGCCTGACTTCCAGACCTATGCTCAGTCGACTACATTCAAACACTCAACACATACTGAAGACGCCAGGATTTACTGCTAAAACAAATGGATTCGGGGTGCTCTGCACGAGTTCAACGGACGAGGCCCATAGCTCCACGAGCTCTTCCGCATGCAGTGATACTGAAACGAAAGAAATCGATGGGTTTGTCCTTGAAAGTGAAGCTGAGCGTTGCGAGCACTCGGAGACCGAGAGAGAGAGCAGTTATCGGTCTCGGTCGCACCGTAACCGCAGTAAAGCAAAAGAAGAATATTTTGTTTCGGCAACCGCCTTTGCCGATGCATTGGAGTCGGACCCATTTTATGGATTCGATATAATGGACTTCAACAGACCCAGCCTGCGGAACAAAACGAAAGGGAAGCAGCCTGCTTTTGATCTGTCATTATCTGATAGCGAGTTGGAATTGGAACTGAAACGGGCATGGCGGAATGACAGAGAGAAGAAAAAGACAAGGAAACAGAAGAGAGAAGAGCTTCGTGCTGAAGGCCTACTCGGTCGAAATGCAAATGCGCCTGATCTCAGAGCGAAGTATTCAAGTGGCTTTGATGTCGAGGATCTGAAATCGGAAATGCGCAATTTCTTGCTATCGTCGAAAGACAGGTATGAGTTTCCCTATAGCCGGAATTGAAAGTCATAAAGTTAGAGTGCTGAAACCGGGGCTTTGTTCAGTTTGTCTCTTCCACCCATGTCTAAACATTACAGGAAGTTTGTGCATGACATGGCAGACGCACTGTCACTCAAATCGCAGTCCCGCGGCAAAGGGTCGTCCAGGTTTCCCATGCTTTACAAGATCTCCCGCACCCCGAGGTATACACAGAAAACAATCATACAGGTCGACAAAATATTCTCGAAAGCGCAATTCTCTCACCGTGGCCCCAAGTCACGGTCCCAGAACAACAAGAAACCGGCAAAGGCTCCCCGTGGTCGCCCTACATCCTCTGTCAGCTACATGGAAGGCGACGTCGTTGGAGCATCAGCACCGGAAATTGGAGCGGAAAACAAGGGAAGAGCCATGCTCGAAAGGATGGGATGGAGTTTGGGAACCCCGCTCGGTGCCATAAATAACAAAGGCATTCTGTTGCCGGTTGCGCATGTCGTGAAGAATTCCAAGGCTGGCCTGGGGTAGATAGTTTCGAGCGATTGTATAAGCCCTAGTTACATCTTATATGGTTGTCTAAGGCTAAGTGGTGGACCTCCTCCAACAGTGATATAAGTTTCCACACCAAACAAGCTTGTCAACGTTCTTAAACTCCTTCCATGAGATGATGGATGGAATGAATCAGAGAAGTGTCTCTGCTAGAATGCTTTATGACATATTCAACAAGGCAATTATTGTATTTGTGACTATGATTGTCCGCTAAACTATGACGTTCACAACATATTGGTCAACATAACTCTCTCACTATGAGACGGATGAGCGAACGAACAGATGAAGATCAATAACAGTCACCTAGCGTGAAGTGTTAGGTCATAATGCTAGTCTTTGCTACCTTGTTGGCGGCTGGGCATGGCCGTACTTTCTTAAGTGTGTAAAAAGCTGAGTTTTGGACGGAAAGACAGCATTGCAGGTGGTACAAATCAACTCGGGAGAGTGACCCAGAGCCTGCCGAGCCGCTTTCCGAGCGCGCTTCTGTTTGGCTTTGCCAATTTTTTTGATTTCAGTCGATGGATTCTGACCCAAGCCGGAGGCTGACAATTGTTGAGATAGTAAATCCACAGTATCGTCTTCCCTCTCAGACACATCGTCCGAGCCCGTGGGATCGAAAATGGTTTCGCTCGACTCGTCGCTAGCATATCTCACAGGAGATATGTTATCAGCTTTCGTGAATGCACGGCGATATTCATCTTGTGTGTCTTGCATGACGGGCGCAATGTTTTGATCAGTATCAGCATTGTGTCCACCTTGGACCTCACCACTCTCTTCATGGCCGAAGGAGGAAGCTGCTGAGCCGTCATTGCATTGCTCTAACTGAGCATGGTCACTGTATGGCGCCATATACTGGTCAAGATTGAGGGACTCATTCTCTGCTCTCATCTCCCAGCGAAGCTGTTTGATGGCCTTAACGTGTTTCTTGCTACGTTCATGTGCGTTGAATTGGTTCAGGCTCTTAAAAGCTTTCCGGCAAACGATGCACTCGAACCGCTCGAGTTCAGATTCAGAACTATCCGGATTCTCTTTCTCGGCCTCTTCTGACTTCGCCCAGTCTGGTATAACATGCTCACGCAGCTTTGCTTGATTCACTGCTCTTGATTTGGCAGCTTGTGCAGCGGCTGTTTGGCGGAGGAGCTCCCGGCGCTGCGCTTCGCTTTGGATGCCACTTTTATAGCGCGGATCCCTCTTTTTAACAAAGCCCACAAGCGATCTAACAGCTTCGTTAAATTCGCGGATACCCTCCTCTCTCAGTCGCTTATTTTCTTTCTCCATCAATCTGCGCACGCGACGATCTGGAGCCTCGGAATAACGGTAAATATCTTTCCAGGCGAATGATTTCTTGGTTGAGAAGCTGCTCCAGACGGCATAGAAGGGCCGTACGACATCTTCAAAAGTATCACTTTGTGACCCGAAAGTCGGATAGTCGACAAATTCCAAATTTTCTGCGCGACATGCCATTTCTTCCTCGAGAGCAAGCCGGCTGAATACCGCTCGAAGGCCGCCGTAGAATCCAGATGGGGAATCCGAAAAATCCATTCGAGGACTGAACTTGGAGAACAGCTTCAAGATGTCACCGGACGTTGTCATCCGGCTATCATAGCAGTATTCACTACTACCTGGCTGCCCATCGCGACCCAGAAATGCATCTTGGTGAGTATCATACCATGCACGCTCCTGAGGATCTGAAAGAACTTGATATGCAGATTGAATTTCTGCAAATAGTTTTGTTGCAGCTTCGACATTGCCGTAGTTTTTATCCGGGTGCAGCTCGAGAGCTTTTCTTTTGTATGCTTTTCTTATTCTTGATGTGAATCGAAGAGATGAATGTCAGCCTAACAGGCACATGGCAGATTTTGAAGTTATAATCTCACTCATCTGTGGAGGCATCCTGTTGTATCCCCAGGAGTTCATAATAATCTACCTTCCTCTCTTTAGACGAAGGTTCGGCAGAATATGCATTCTCCTGAAAACTTGTAGATTGAGATTGGCCCATATCTTAGGGTATTGACAGCCTGGCCCAGATAAAAATCACAAAAAGAAAAGTACGTAATGACAATATACATTAAATTCTGAGTCTCCACCAGACATCAAGTGTGGAATAGGCAGTACTTATCTTCTTTTTTTTTTTTTACTATAGCCATTTCCTCTGTGGAGAGGCATTAGAATTTATAATAGTTTCATGATCTTTTACCTTGGTAGTTACTGATTACACTGCATACTTGCTACTCTTAATGCAGGGACATAGCTCAGCTAGTGTCAAAAAAAGGTCCACTAGTGTTGCTGTGTTGGTGGAACAAGTAACTACAGGTCAGCTGACCCTTACTAAGGAATTTGGGTAACTAAAAGTAGGTCAGCCAACCTATTATATGCATAGTCATGTGTACGTGCCATTATATATTATTTATTAACTATAGATAGTTAACTACTAGGAATATAACTATCTTCCCCTAACTATACTATCTTATATATAGTATATACTACTATTTAGTAGTATATCCCTAGCTTTCTAGGAACTAATTTAGGACTATCTAATTAATTATTTATTTTACTAGAATTAAAATCATTATATAATAAGTAATGCTGTAGTGGCATTCCCTATATCTATTGATTAACTTTTATAGATAAGTAAAACCATATTAATATGTTATAACACCTTCTATTTTAGGAAAAAAGTTAATATAACCTGATATTTGCCCCTACTAACTTTCTGGTATTCCTTCTTTATTAAGAAAGATACTCTTATCTTTATTACCTTTATCTTACTATTCTATTAGATACCTACCTCTACTTATTAGTCTATTATAAACCTTAAATTATTATTTAAGTATTATATTTCCTTGACTATATTTATGAATAGATTTTATTAGTGATTTAAATCTATTATTAAGTAATTATTATTATATTAAAAATTATTATTAAAAAATTATTATTATTCTTTAATTAAACTATCTACTTATATAACTAATAGTATAGATAAGTAGCTAATATTAGTAGCTATATAACTCTAGTCTTTTGAAGAAATAGGTTATAGTTTTACTAAAGACTTTAATCTAGATACTATTACTTAGCTTATATTTATATTATAATATTAGAAGAATCCTAACCTTACTAATATTAGGTTTCTAGATAACTAGATATATATTAAAGCAACTCTTAGAGCTATAGTATAATACTTTCTAAAATAGACAGAATTCCCATAAGATAACTAATAATATCTGTTGGAATAAGATACCACTATGATTATGGATATGAAACCCTAGACTGATGAGTACATTGTCTGGACGCCTTTTTGGCCTAGTAGTATTATTATTCAATAGTTATAAGCCCAGTTTGCCCTACACAGCAGGCATAATTAGATGCCTCCTGTACCCCCTGAGCCCCTAGGTTTAATTCTAAGAGAAGGCATGAAACTTTTCAGACTGCGCAGGAGTATGTGACCTAGGCTGTGCATTATAAATAGTCTAGTGTCTGACTAAGTGGATATAGATGCCTACGGACCCTATATTGCCTGAACCAACCCAGACAGCTCTAGTATGTGAAGGTTTAGGTATACTGTGACACACTATACCTAGGGGGGTGTGTTGGAATAAGATACCACTATGATTATGGATATGAAACCCTAGACTGATGAGTACATCATCCAGATGCCTTTTTGGCCTATTGGTATTATTATTCAATAATATCTTACCTTCGTTATAGAATATTTAAAAATAATAACTAGATAGTCTAGAAGCCCCTAGAATAACTATAAGGATTTATACTAAGAACTCCTATTCCTTACTATCTATCTTTTATTAAGAAAGAAATATTATTTAATATACTGAAAGTGTAGTGGGCAAGGCCTGCTGTATGCTTGAGCCTATCAGTACTTATAAGCTGCCTCAGGCACTAATAACTTTTAGCTCTGACTGAAATTATAAGCCTACTAGGTTATATAATCTTACTTATAGTTTATATATATCTTTTCTTATCTAGCTATTATGGCCCTAGTTAGAACCCTTTAGTAATTTCTTACTATCCAAACCTAGGTCATAGGTTAACCAGCTTCTAGCCTATAATATTAGAAATTACTTACTCTAAGATAGTTAGAAGAAGAGAGAAAGATATAGCTAAACCAGTAAGACCTAGCTAAATTAATAAGAACTAGCTAAACTAGTAAGACCTAACTAAACTAGTAAGACATAGCTGAACTAATAAGATAGATAAATTAATAGAATTAATAGTATATAATAATACCTGAGAATTAATCATAGTAGATAAACCTAGTAGGGAATAACTATAGGTGTAGGGTAGTATATAAACTAACCCCCTTACCTAAATAGTATAATAGTCAGTAAGGGTAATAAGTTAAATAAACTAGATAGAAGGATGATAGGCAGTAGCTACCCCTATATTAGGTAAGACCTCTATAGTACCTACCCTAGCTATTATATTAGTAGATAATAGAATAAGAAGACTGAAGCTAGTACTACTAGATATAGAGATATATAATAATATTAATAAGACTATATATTATATCTTCTACTCTAAGCTAGTAGTAAAGCTATAGATTAACTAGGTAATAATTAGTTCCTCCTTTAGCTATATATAATATACCTTTAGTAGGTTAAAGAGGAATATAGCTATAGTAAAAACCTTATAAATAAATTAATATATTTAAGATCTACCTATAATAACTATAAATATATTAATTAGTATACTTAACTAACTTAACCTTATATTTTAAAATAAAAACTATATAAAGGAGGCTATAGCTATATAGCTTATATTAAGGTAATTACCTATTTAGTAAGATACTAGTAGACTTTAACTAATTACTAATAGAAGTGGGGGATTATAATTAGATAGATAATATAAAGTAAAGCTTTATAGATAGTATCCTTAGCTAGGAGATAAAAGTATAACTCTTTAACTTTATAAAGGACCTAAACTTTAAGAAATACTACTAGTAGTCATAGATAATTATAGACTAA